AAGACATAATTTCCTCCTCTTTCTGGAGAGTATTTTTCCTGCTTGATTCCTGAAATTCAAGCAATGATTTCTCAGCGTCGTTAGCTCGGAGCTCAAACGCATTTGCATGTGCATGGGCCTTTTCCAACTCCAACTTCAACCTATCAATGTCACTTCTTGTAAGCAACGACTGAGATTCTAAATCATTTATGGCACCCTGTAACATCATATTTTTTGACTGGAGGGAAGCAAGCTCATCCAGTGGACTCATACCTTCAGTATATTCTAATACTGCTTTTGATGCATGCTCACCAGCTTTTTCCGCCACATCCAGTGCCTTCTCTATTGCAAGTTTTGACTGTTCCACAATTGACAATATATTACATTCTGTCACCTCCTTAATTTGTTTTTCGATCTGATAAGCTGCTTCAGCAGCTGTAGTTTCTGCCGCCGAAACCCTCATCCGGGCATCTTCTAGAATGTGAGATGTGGCCTGCTGGAAAGCAATTTCCGCTAACTTTTCTACTTGTACTGCAAGTTCGACCGCATCCTGTTTTGCAAGAACTAACTTAGATTCTAAGCTGAACTTCTCTTCAACAGATTCCTGCAGCTTCTGATGGAACCGCGACTTGGCTGCCTCAAGTCCTGCAATAGCCAATTCCTTGTCGTGCAATATGCTAGCAACATATTCCCGTTCTTTTCCCTCGGAACAGGCCAACTCTTCAAGCAATTGATCTCTCTCTTTCTCAGTGGCTTCTTGTTTAGCTTGGGCCTCCAAAAGACCTTTTCTAGCTGTCACTAATTCATCTTCTTCTACATTCAACACTTCACTGCTTCCTGAAGTATCAAACACTTCGGTAAAAGTGTCATTGGAATCATCCTGTCATAAAAATCAGAAGCCATGAGTCGCAAAAACCGTGAATACTATGAGGAGAAATACATCATTCCTTTAACATGAAGAGACATTACCATGCTTGAAAAAATACTTGTTCTTGATTTACATAACCAATGCTGCGTGCAGAAAAGGTTCCTGCACGAATTTCATTTTGGTCATGATATTGAAAACGCAACCTTCACATAACTTGCAACAGTTTCCGCCACACGTAAAAGAAGGAAACATAGTAAAATGTCAACAAACAATACAGGAATGAAATTACAAATTCACAGGAGCATCAGTGGAGAGAAATTGCGCACTTTTCTCTATTCGAATTAGTTCTGAAGACAAGAGGGCGCAGCCGCCCCAGGCGGCATAAACTCCTATCATACTTGCAATGTGGACCTGAAGATGCAATGGGGCAGCGGTGAATAACCCCAACTGCCATTTCAGGCAATGAAATTGTATTCATCTCTTCCTGCAAGGAATTCAAAGTTTTGATCTTTAGCAAGATATCAGGCACACAAAAACATAAACATAAATAAACGATCTTGTACCAACAAAACCCAGGTTCTACAATTTAAGTTCCACAATTTTCAATTACAAGTAAAATTTAAACAATGTAAACACAGAAAACTTATTCATCAAATTACAGAGTAAAAAGAGCGACCCAAGCCAACTAGGCTCCCCGCTTTGCGAGGGTAGAGTTAACGTCTATTGTACGGAGGCTTACCTTGCTTTGCAAGGGACTGAAAGGAGAAATATTCACTTCAAATTGTTTGATTTTACAATAAAATATTACAAACAACAAAAATAAAAATATGATTTTTTCCAAGAAAACTCAAATCTATAATTCCAGGTTACATAGTATTCAAGTAAAATTTCAAAAATTCAAGCAACAATAACCCAGAAAACCAAATTCATCAAACGGCATGCATGTGTACATTAACGACCACAGAACATTTTACATCAAATTTTCACATCAAACACTTGATCAGCTGATTTGATCCATTTTTTTCTTGAGATTCCCAATAAATTCATGCGCAGAAAGAAATATAATCATATATAAAAATGTATAGATATAAAAACCTGATGGAAAAATGGTGGAGCTAATTTGAAAGGAACTTGAGAGACCCCATGATTTTGGGAAGATAAGAAAAATGGTGGAGAATTGTTAGTGTGGATGGATTATTGGATTCTTGTATTAGGATGCGAGAGAGACAGAGCAGAGAAATAGGAGGAGAAGGAAATGCAATGGCGCGCAGACTGAGAGGCTTCCAATCAAGCTCGGGGCTCCCTTGTGTTTGACCATCCTTGTAATGACATTAATGCCCCTCGATTATTTGTATGCATCTTCACAAAGAGACCGACAAATGTTAGTGGGTTAAATAGTTAGATGCTAAGAAAAAGAGGAAACGGAGGGGGTTGTGAACTTGATTGCAAAGAGACGGACAATTTTCCTTGGGTAATCGACCTTCCAATAAATTAAGGACAATTGGGCGAGTCAAAATTTAGAGTCTATCGAAAAGAGTCTAAATATTAACTTCAAATTAATTTTTTTACTATTGCACGTGAGTCTGAATCAAACTATTAAAAGTTCATGTTTTAAATAAATTATTATTGGTTAAAATTAAGCAAATTTGAAGTTTTAAAAATAGCGTAAGCGTACAATGAGCAAAAAAAATGAACTCGGAATGACACACAACAATGTAAATTTTAAGAGACCTTTTTTAGTTACAAAACACGACAAGTAAGAATTGATTCAGAAGATCGAATTAAAAAATTTTAAAATTATTATTTGATACAAGTAGAACTGTTTCCTACAATAAAATGATCAAAAATATCTATTAGAATAAAAAAATTAATAAAAATGTTTCTCGATGGTCATAGTAATTAATCAATGATTTTGAACAACATGAGGAAAAAACTGAAGAAACTGTGATAGAGAATCATCTCAAAAAAATCTTTTTTCTCGAGCAACTAGAATGCTACTCCCCTACCCAAGAACTCAATTCATTTCTTTAGTAGACAAATTCTTGATATCGTGTGAGCATCGATTGAAATTTTGAGATAAGTAAACACGTTATTAGAGTTTAAAGTATTTATTAGTTAATATGAAAATTACTTATATTATCACTCATTAATGATATTTTAGTCATATTGTAAGGATAGTTCGGTCATTTTAACGGTTGTGCTTAGGCCTGGCAAACGGGTCGTGTTTGTCGTATTCGTGTCGTTTTCGTGTAACACATGTTATTTTAACGGATCGTGTCGTGTCACACCTTAGGTAAAGTGACTCGACCCTTTATGACCCGTTAAGAAAAATATTTTTTTTTCTTAAATTTGCACATACCATACTTTGCCACATAAATATTACTTCAAAACCACCTCTTAAGCTCTTAAGCTGGCGTGTCCGGATCTCTAACTCTCTCTCTGTCTCTCTCTCTCTCTCTCATTACACTGATCGGTTAAAACCGCCTCTAACAAACTTATCAACGGAAGTCGCTATATATCCATTAACACTCGGCTTTTGTCTGCAGGGGTAAAATAGGAACTTGAAAATATATTGGGATTGGGTAGGAAGAGAGATTTAATTGGTACAAATAGAACCTGTAACTCCATCAGGCACCTCATGCCACAAAAATGAAAGTAATGGTTGTGAATTTGTGACATAGGCAAGTTTGTGCTATCCTTATACGGTACCTTTATGCCCCCTCACTTCATGCAATAAAAAATGTTAAACTAAGAATTAAATAATTTAAAAAGAAATTATAAAAACACAGTGGGCCCCAAAAGAAATTATAAAAACACAATGGGCCCCACTCCATAGGCAAGTACATCCTTTCTAGCTTTTTTTTTTTTTTTTTTTAATTAAACGATATTATAGAGAAGGTGAATTTAGTCTCATAATGGGCTAGCAATAATATGGTTTAAACTCGTCTTTGGTGATAATTGGACCTAAGACCTCTCACTTACAAGTGAAAAAGAATATCACTAAATCGTAGTATTAAGTGAGATGCACGCACGGTAATGATCAAAAAAAAACAGGAAAAAAAAGATGCCCGGTAATTTTATTATTCTTGTCACTTGCCATGTATAAACGCTTCTTACCTGAATATAATTTTGTGGAGAAAGGGGTTTGGCATGTACAACAATACGAATATGATGATTGAAGCAGCTGGAAACCTTTCTGTGACAGTGAGCAGTATTACCCCTTCATCTTCGTCTTCATCTAATCATGCGTAAGTACATTCTATCTAGCTTCTTAAATGCCCAGTAATTTTTTTTTCCTTTTTTTTTCTTTTTTTTTTTTGCCTTGCTATGCATAAACGCTGCTTACCTGAATATATTTTTGTGCAATTCGCAGTTACGATGCGGCTTCTTACCTTAATATATTTTGGTGGTCTTTTTGACCATTTGGTGGTTATTTGGCTGCAAGTGGTTATTTGACTGAGTAATTTGATTGCAAGAAAGAGATGGTTATTAAGGCGCTTTCATGCAAGAAGGAGATGGTTATTTGACTGAGTAATTTGACTTTCATGCAAGAATGAAAGAAAGGAGAGATATTTCAGTATAACCGAAACACGGAGTGTTACATTATATGTCATTATGTAAATAGTAAGATATATATGTTAAAAAGTTAATAGCTTAAAAAATAAAATTTTCTATCACATCAAGAAAGAGATGGCTATTAAGGGGCTTTCATGCAAGAAAGAGATGGTAATTTGACTGAGTAATTTGACTTTCATGCAAGAATGCAAGAAAGAGACTTTCATGCAAGAATGAAAGAAAGGAGAAATGTTTCAGAATAGCTGAAACACAGAATGTTACATTATATGTTATTATATAAATAGTAAGATATGTGTGTTAAAAAATTAATAACTTAAAAAATAAAATTTTTTATTACTTATATAAAAACTCGTGATGTATCAAAAAAAATTTCTCGCAAGAAGGGGACTGATAATTGATTGCAGGAATGCAAGAAGGGGACTTTTTGGCCGAGCAAGAGAGCAAACGACTTCTGACAAGAAATTTTCTGAATCCGAGTGGGCCCCACTCCATTACATTTGTCTGAACAATTTTCAGTTGCCGTGCTATAAATAGACGCTTCTTACCTGAATTGCTTTCTGTGGAGTTTCCAAAAAAAGAAAAAAAGAATCGCTTTCTGGAGAAAGATCTTTTATGAATACGATGATTCAAGCAGGTGGCAACCTTCCTGTGACTGTGAGCAGTAGTACCCCTTCATCTTCATCTTCATCTCATCAAAAGTAAGTACATCCTATACATCTGGCTTATTATTGCTTAGCTGCTCTTATATATATACTTTAAACTACTATGTAAAACAAGTATTTTGCCCAATATCACCCTTGTTGATGTTGTTGTTGCAGAAAAACTACCCTTTGTCGCCATGAACTTTTCAGTAACATTGCATCTGCTACTATCTTGATTACAAAAATGCTTGCAAATATTATCTCCCTATTAGGAATATATTTGCAAGTTGCAACTAGCATATTTATCACTGTATAAACTTCAAAATCGAAACAATTCACTTTTTTTAATTATGATATAATGATTATCTTTACAAAACATCAATCAAATCGAAAATCTTGAAAAGATGCATATAAATTGATTAGAAACAATCTCCATTTTTCTTTTTTAGAAATGATCCTTAAATGATAATTAAGAAAATAAACAATTTTAATTTTAAACTTCATGATAAAAACACATTACTCTAAAAAAGATAGATAAGATCATGCATCACTTATACTTTGTAAACCCCACATCTTAGATGTGTGGCAGAGTATGTAGGTGTAACCAGAGATTTCACTCATACGTTTTTTTGTCTAAGATGGGCTTGAAAAGTAAGATTACAAAATATTTTCCAACAAAAGATATGTTTAATTATAAAGAATAAGTACAATTTTTCTTCCTTTCACAAAAATAAGTAGAAAGTTCCAAATTATTAGCATTTGCTTTCTTCAGTCAATGTATCCAAGCACACAATATCAAAGCGCAACTTAATAGGTTCCCCATATAATAATACATAGACTTACCTCTATTTCTGTACAAATGAGGTTGTCACTATATCCACGATGCAGGCATATGTTTTTAATTATTAGGAACTTTAACGAAAAATTTATGATGCTGTTTATTTTAACGAAAAATCATATTTTTACACTAAAAAATTAATCCTGATACTATTCACTTTACCCTTTATTTTGTCCTTATTGTTAAAACTCAAAGTTTTTAAACCCTTTTCATTAGTTTTCATTTTAATTATTGGTTGTTTCTTTTCTTTAAATTAGTTGTCAAAGTTTTACATTTAAAATACGGGATATTTTATTTTTAATATTAGCGAGGTTTTTTATGATAAAATTCAATACATAGTAATATGTATTTAAGTTGGAACCATGTCGATGATGTTATTGATGATCCATGATACGTTTAAAAAGTTTGTCACTATATACCTAGAAGGAAAATGCTTATAACGCATTTGCTTTCTTCAGTCAATGTTATCAAATAATAGTAGTGATTTACCTCTATCTGTGTACAAGTGAAGCTGTCACTATATCCGTGAGGCTGTCACTATATCCACGCTGGCAGTAGATGTCTTTAATTATTGGTTGTTTCTATTCTTTAAATTATTTGTCAAAGTTTCACATTTGAAATACAGGATATTTATTTTTAATATCAGCGAAGCTCTTTATAATAAAATTCAACACTTGGTAATATGTAATTAAGTTGAAATCATGTCGATGATGTTAGTGGTTAACTATGATATGGAAAATGCTTATAACGCAATATAATTTTCTAACCATATAATTATAATATAGCACAAGCGAGGGTTGGCAACATTATCGTCAAAGTTCTTCAAAGGCATTGCACAAGTATATTATCCCTGCCATCACCATTCTGGCCGTGTTTGTCCAGCTCAGGAACGGAGTTGGAGCCGCAGTATCTCTGTTTTTCATGGAATACGTCACGGTTGTGGCGTTTATTGTTGCTTTTTTGGTTTACATCAGTTCATTGGCTGTCGAGATACTCCAGGCTCGTGAAAATACAGATTTGTCTGAGTTCATGGATAAGATTAGCCCGTCTGGGACACTTGCCATAACCTTAGAATTGTTGATCATGGTTCCAGCTTTGGGGTGGTTCACCATCTCAGCATGGAGCATTTGCCTTGTGATTGCAGTAACAAAGTCGTACCGTGAAATTGTAGTTGTTTTGAAAAGGTTGTATCAGAGAGCCCTTGAACATCTTCTTCAGGTGTTTTGACAAATTGAAAGAGTTGTTCATGAGTATTGGTGCAAGCGCATCACTTCCTAATGCCTTTAACAGATTGAAAGAGTTCTTCGTGATCAGGAATGTTGACAACCAGTTGGCCATGGAGTCCGATCAGCAGAACTGGCTTCCTTAATCAGTTATATGGCCTTTTGATCTACTTAATTAATAGTTAATATGTACCATACGTTTGCTACCTCTGTGTTTTGGGGGCTTCCCTATATGTACACCTATAATGTACGTGTGAATGTAATGAATAAAAACTATGAAACTTTAACGAAAAACTTTCGGTACCATTCACTTTAACGAAAAATGTGATTTTCCTTTAAAGTGAACAATACTAAAAACTTTTCGTTAAAGTTCTCTAAAAACTATTGGTCAATCGTCTGTTTATTTTCAATCAATTCTTCTGGAGAATTTTTCGCAAATAACATCTGCAGCCTAGGAGAAGATAAGTAAGCTACCTTTGCATACTTCCCATGTAGGGACCCACTCCTTAAAAAAATGAAAAAAATAAATAAAGGGAAATTGACGGAAACACCCATTAACATTGCTAATCCTCACTCTTCCTTGGGTTACTTACCGCAAGCTGATCGCGATGATCAAAACATCTTAGCATACGATGATCTCCTCCAAACAAATACACAATTATTCGAAACCCAAACTTCTGAAAAAAGCTCGGTCTTTCGACTTCTTACTGCCTGATCATGATCAGGAATCTGTCAACTATTTCTAGAATCCAATTTGAAAATCTTTAAACAAATAGACGGTTCATCACGGAAGACACAAGCAATATCCACTAAGTAAAACGTAAATTCTTCTTTTATTATTATTGTAATGGATTATTAATACATGAAGATTCTAAAAAGTACCAATGTGTCAAGAAGTCCTATACAATCACTATATCTCCTCACCATGCATGCACCTTCTTGACCTCGCGGAAAGTAATACAAACCCTAAGCCAAGCCTAGCCTAATAAGCCTAGCCTAGCCTAAGATCTCGCGGAAATTAAAGAAACAATCATCAGAGGCCTCCTACATAGCCGGAAGAATGTTTTTGATGATGAAAAAAGCACCCACACCGACTGCGATAGCAAAAAGTACAACACAGAAGAACTCGGTGGCCGGAGAAATGTGCTTGATAGGAGTCTTGATGGGGCGGACGATCAGCCTTTGTTTCCTTCCACGGCCGACCGTCTCCACTGTACAGATGCACGAGTAACCACGGGCAATGAATCCTCTCAAGTTGTCGAAGCCGAGCGCTTGGTGATCGATTTCGAAGCCAGTCTCGAAGCGGAAATCTTGTTTGAGAGACGCCAGTGGATATCCGTCGGCCCAACTTCTTTCAGTCTCGCAGAGGCGGTCGAGCAGATTGAGAAACCACACCTCAAAGTAAATCAGCCAGTCAGGTCTCGGTTCGGTGGCCGCAGTGGCGGTTCCTTCCATGATGTGCAAGAAGCACGGAAACAAGAGAAAAGCGAGAAGGAGAACGAAAGAAGATGAGAGAGAAAGAAAGAAGATGAGAGAGAGAGAGAGAGAGAGAGAGAGAGAGGCAGAGATGTAGAGGGTTTCTGGGAAGGTTTGGGAAATTCAGAGAGAATCAAAGTTGAAGGCCAGTGTGTTATGAAGAACTATGAAGAAATGAACTAGCTACGTACTGCTATATATATTCTCTCACTCTCTCTCTCTCTCTCTCTCTCTCTCTCTCTAACTCACTCTCACACTCTCCCTCTCTCTCTCTCTCTCTCTCTAATTACACTGATCAGTTAAAACCGCCTCTAAGTAACAAACTTATCAACGGAAGTGAACCGCCTCTAACAAACTCATCAACGGAAGTCGTTATCCAATAACACTCGGGCATTGTCTGCAGGGGTGAAATAGGAACTTCAAAATACTAGGATTGGGTAGGAAGAGATATTAATTGGTACAAATAGAAGCACCCGTAACTAATTAACTGAACTCTCGCGCCAAAATTCATCCTCTACCAGAGAAGGGGTGGCAATTTCAACCCAACCCAATAACCGGACCGGACCCAACTCATCCGTTTAAATCAACATTTGGGAGGAGAATTGAAGGATCGGGTTGTTAACATTCCGGTTTGAACCTGAAGTGAAACATGATTTGAAAATCCTAGCTACGCCATGCATTCAATACAAATTCTCGATTGGACCTGTTAATCATTTGTTTTTTTTCTGGCCGGTCTCAGGCGAATCCGCAAACCCGTTAACCATCTGTTAACTTAGGGTGTTTTTGTAAATTCGTTAAAACAAAAAACCTATTCTCCTCTCCCGCCGACTTCGATTCTCAGACTTACACAGTTACAAAATTCAAGCAAACATCGAAAAGTACAGAATTACCAAAAGAATTTGTAAGATATAAATCATTCAATTGTACATCGAGCGCACGTATAAAGAAGTCAGTCTGTTGCTGTTGCTCAAGCCATAGTATCCGCCTTGGACCGAAATATAGCTCCGAGACTAAATATATCCTCCGGCCATGTTACAACCGAGCACCAAAAATCCCGGTCAAACCTCCCCACCGGACACAATACTTAAGACGGCCCATTCTCACTACCAATTTCCAGAAGATCATGAAAAATGTAGAGAGAGCTCCAACGACGTGCCAAACTATGCAAAAGTCCTTCCGCCTTCAAATCACTCTTCTGCTTATAGCTGGGAAACAAAGGCAAAAGTACCGAAATTATAGCCCAGAAAAAGCACAAATTAACGCAAATATGCACCCAGATGAACAAAGAAAAGGCATAGAACTGATAGATATATGTTATCTTGTTCCTCTAATGAGCGTAGTAACTTTCTGTGCTTTGATAGTTGGGAGGGACAGAAACCCCGGACGTCATGCAAAGCTTGAAATCTGCACCACCACTAAGCACAGTATCACCTTTCCACCAGTCGGCGCATAGCGCCTGATTACAGCAAAGATCACCGAATTATAAAAAGTAGATTGAATTTTCGAACACTGACGGAAAAAGAAAAGAAAAAATGATAGAAAGAATAACATTGCATCTTGTCCTTGTGTGAATCAAAGATAAACAAGGGCCACTGCAAGAGAAAACACTATTATTGAGTAACGAATTTATCTACAGTTCATGCTGGGCAGCGGTCGTGAACTGTTGATAGAAAACAAAAACAAGAAGAAAACATACAGCAGTTCTCGTATCCCACAGCATAACTTTTCCATCATGAGATGCAGAGACTAAATGAAACGGAGACTTGTCATGCCACTTGCACGCCGTAACCCAAGAAGTGTGAGATGAGAAAGTTTTGATAGAAGCAGAGGTTCCTACAAAAATAATAAAAGCTTTTTATGTCAGATGCTTGTGTTCTTTAGTTTGTTTGTGTGCATGGAAGGAAGAGAGAGAGAGAGAGAGAGAACATAACACTTGATTCATCTATCGGACCTGGTTTACGAGGATCCCATACCCTAACAATGGGGTCAGAACCACCAGCAGCAATCAAAGCAGATCCTTCACCTCCAATATCAATGCAGTTGAGTACTTTATCATGGTACAGTCACCAGGAGAATGTTTATCATACAAACATTTATTAACTCTGAGAGAGCAAATGCCAGATATTGGAGAAGTTTTTAGGTGTTCCCGTCACCTCACATCACCATGGACACTTGGTGTACCCATCCAATCAGGGGATGTCACGTTTCCCATTAAAGAATCTTTCTGATTTATTTTTTAAGAAAATCAATTAAACAAACACTTTAATGGGAAACGTGGCATCCCCTGATTGAATGAGTACACCAAATGTGATGGTGATGTGGGGTGACAGGAACACCTAAAAATTTCTCCAGAGTGATTTGATGCCACAGAACGAATGCAAGCATGATTATGAAAAAGACTTCAGACAACAGAAAACTAAGGCTATTTGTACTTACTATTGTCGACGTGGCTGTGCCTCTCTCGACATTCCACTCTTTAATAGAATGGTCCCATGATGCAGAATAGATTGTTTTAGGCTCTGGCCACTTTACGGAAGATACGCATTGTGTATGACCTACTAGAGAAGAAACAGCCTCTCCCTGTGACGTAATATAATGTATAATAACTGTCAATGAACAGGGAAAACAATCTGGCTCACTAAAATCTTAATATTATAATATTTTCATAAGAAAAAAAATTGTCAAAAAGGACACAAGCTAGTCTAATTTAAATGAAAATTTGGAAAAAGTAAAGTGACATAGGATGTCAGACCAGGATGATTGATGCAATAACCTATTAAATCTTAATAAAAAGGAAACATTTCATTTATTTCTAGCTCAACAACTCTCAAAGAAATAACCAAGCAGTTAGATATCCTGTTCAAGGAAATAATTGAACCTCTTTTTCTTACATAGATATTTCCTTTAAATGACAATCTTTCCATTACTTACGGCAGAACCAAAGAAACCATCAAGAATTCACTAGTGCAAAAATTTCAATCGATAACAAAGTGTTAAGCCATTTGTTAGGGCTTGGAAGTTGTATATACCGTGTGCAACCCGAGTTAAATATTTAATAAGCCTATCTCCACTTAGTCAACTGGTCACCCCAAAATTATTAAACCCCTTTATAGAAATTAATAAACGCATATCACATACCTCCAACTGCAATTCCTTTTCTTGACCAGTCTTTTTTCTCTTCTTTGTTGACACAGTATCACCTTCTGCATCAGGCTCATTTGTCTGCCATAAATTGATAGTGGAATCCCAAGAGCCTGAACAGACCTAAGCATATGTAAGAAGACAAAAGAAAAGGTAAATTATAGACTTATGCCAAAGCCCAATCTCACATACATTACTTGTCAAATTATATATTGGAAATTAGAAGTAGACAAGACCATGTTTCCAGAGGTCTGAGCAGCAACACTTTGAACAGCTGCTGTATGTCCATGTAAAATTTTGAATGCTCTTATCCTCAAAGGATTTTTTCGGGTCTCTTCTGCATTGAACTTCCCCAAAAAACAAATAATAAAGATTTAGTATACACGTCATACTATCCTTATAAAAACAGTATGGTCGTCCAATTAAGTTCCACAGCCTCAGTGTCCGATCTTTCGAAGCAGTAGCTACGGTAACACTTTCTCCACCTTCATAAAAAAATGAATACCAGCTTAAGCACTTGCGACAAGATAGATACTGGGAACTGCACTACCCTAGCAGCTACCATGTAAAGACCACCTCCCTAACACAAACAGAAATTCATGCACAGAAGTATCCCATTAGACATGAAAAGGTTTTCAAATCCAAAAGCAAAAACAATGAGGATGCCATAATAACTTGGTCCTCTAAAGGCCAGAACTGAAAAATTGTAAGTAGTTGACAGTGCCAACTGACATTCACTAGAGAACTGATAACAACAGTATCCTGGCCATATTCAACAAGGAATAAGCCAATCATGAACACTTATATCTTATAGCTACCTTTTGGATTGATTATACTAACTGAAGTAACGGGTCCACTGTGTCCTTCCAGTATATGTGTACATGCTCCAGGGGCTTTCCACACCCTAAAAGATGATAAATTCAAAAAATCAGATATCAAGCTTCCGTATTATGTATCCACATAAGAAATCGCAAGGTACACAAGAAAAGAAAAAACAATAGTGCAATTACCTTCCCAAGCCATCATAGCAGCCTGTCAAAAAGAACCTGCCACATAATACAAATTACAGAAGTTTCAAACTACTTTAGGGCCAAAACAAGAATATAAAATTTAGAATAATGTTTTCAGAGATAACTTCATATTGTGCCGGGATGCAAGAAAATATATCCAATGAATACCAAACATTTTGAAAAAGGACAATTGGAGGTTTCCTCTGAAGAGATTTGGAGTTGAACTGAAAGGAGCTACTCCATGCTACCTTATTTAATAGTACGAGGACCTAACTAAAACTTCCCAGCCCAGATAAATCACTCTAACTTTAAATTTTATTAGCAACAGATATATCCTTATTGTTTACTTAAATCACCTAGCATCATGTGAACAGTAAATTTATTTGAGAGGTGAAAACCCAAGCCATGCAGATTGTAGGATAAGAAATGAAGCAATGAAGTACACATTACAAATTGTGATGTGCGTACCTGGGACTAGAACCATCAACTGCACTAACCCATTCATTGTGTAAAGAAGGTTCTTCTTCTTTCCGTGGGACCACAGCCCGTATATATTCGATCTCCAATATCCTCTCCTGTCATAGTCATAAACCCATCATTAGATATCAAATAAGAAGGCGGGTAAAATGACAATGATGAAAATTACTTCTCTCAAATCAGCTTGTTAGAGCAACAAATGCAACCCTAGAGCTGCACTTGACACTAAAGCACCAAAAATAAACCCTAATTCCAAACTCAACCAGTAAATTTAAACGCAAAAATAATCGGTGAAATCAATTTTCATAGTTGTGAAACCGAAAAAATAATTGAAAAACTCATATTATGTGGCTAACTGGAATAATTTATCCAATTAGCTTTAACTCTTGTTGGTTTCTTAGCCCCAGTTTGGATTCAGAACTTCAATACGGGATTTAATGGTATACGGGATGTACAAATCCCAAATCTTTCACGTATCCCATTTGGCAACTCTGAAACTGAATTTCCTGAGTTCAATTTACGCCTAACAAGGTGTAGTTCAGAAAACCCCGCTATCGTTAACCAAGCTGATAACTTTCTAACTTCCGCTGTTCCAATCCCGTCATTTATTACCATTGTCTCACTTCACTTCTATCCATTCTCTCAGCATTGCTTTCTATTTCACGTTGCTTGCAATTGCATAACATACAGCATTTTATCAGAAAACTTATGCACACAATTCACACAACAAATTGCAAATTGAATCCGAAAAATTGGAGATACACACCGCGGAAATGTTCTTGGCAACAAGGAACTTTTCAATCGACATCCGAACCAGCTCATGCTTGATAAGGAAATCGAAAGGCTCCGATTCCCAATCAGGGTTTCCTGATCACAATCACTAATCAAAGCTTCAGAACACCAAAAAGTAAAATCATTTTTTTTTTCCTCAGACAGCGGCCAATCAGAGAATCAACGGCGGAGGGAAAAACACGTGTAAGCACATGAGAGGCTACCTGATGTAATGAGGTTGTTGACGACGGTGGAGAGGCCGAAGCGGGTGAGACTGGCGGGGATGGAAATGGAGGATTCTGGAACTTTGTAGGGGTGGCCGAGGTCCGTTTTGAAGCGGACGAGGACCAACCGCGATGGCTCTTCGGAATTTCCGTCGGCGTCCATCGCTTTGCTTCTGGTGGAAGAGATTGTAGAGAGAGAAAGAAGTGAGAGAGAGAGAGAGGTGGTAGCAGGTTAGCAGCAGGGTTTAAGACGAAAGCGAGGGAAGGAAACTAGGGTTTAGTAACTGAAAGTAACAAGAGCCGTTCGAAACGCAGCGTTTTGGTTAAGAGAGAACTATTTTTCCAATATTTAGTAGATTTTTGAACCAATAATTATTTAGTTCTTTAATATTAAATATGAACACAAATAAAATAAGGAATTGTTATTGTGACTAAAAAAAAATCTTATTTTATACTTCAAACTTTTTATAATTAGAAAGAAAAATACGTGTAGAATGAAATTTTGAAGTGCTAATAACAGTTCTCATAATATATTAGCTAGAGCAATGTTTTGTTCTTGCACCAAGCTCGAATCTTCTCTCGTAGTTTAGATTAATTTAAACTAGAGTGTGAGAAAACATTTGAAGCTTAAAACACACCAATGTTCTAAACGAAATCAGAAATAGAATTGACTATGGATTTGAGCCATAGCACAGGGTTTAAAAAACCATACGATTTTCCCAATCTAAATAAAGTAGGTTTACCGAATAATATCTAGGTCCGGCTACAATAGTGTGTATTACCCAATAGTATAAGTTTTACGCAAGATCTAACTGCTACAAAAATCTATTGTTCTATTAGATTCATATATGCAAGATCTAACTATTAATTTTTCGGACCACTCAATCATATGCACCATAGAACAAACATTGCAATTTTTCTTTCATGTTATGTTAGAAGTGTGAAGAAAAAGTAAGGTTGCAAGTCTCTACAAGTCTCTTGATATTTTACTGAGTGAAAGATGCAAACCAATATTTTGCTATTTTTTGTATTTTTCAACATAAGTGATATTCGTTGAGGGAAATTCGAACACAAGACTTGTATATCGAACTATTTAATCGTAATTATTTTTTGTCTCTAATATTCATAATATTTCTTGGCTAGCTGTTCAATCTCTTATTCAGATTCAAATTATATAAGAAAATACGATAAATGTGTAAGTCATGGAACTCCAACTATAAAAATAAGTACAACAACAACAACAAAACCTCATCCCATTAAGTGGAGTCGGCTGTATGAACTATATAACGCCACTGCGCTCAGTTTTGCGCTAAGTCTTCTATTAGCTCACAACTATAAAAAGAAGTGTTTAAAGAGAAACTTAGTATTGCCAAGAAGAAGAACGGAGCCTCTTAGCAGGGAGTAAGTCCTATAATTCTGCCACAAAGGACCAGAGGAGGGATTCTCTCAGCAACGACCTGTTCCGAGCAAACCCTGCAATTAGTTTTGCGATGGAGGCGGGATTATCAACGTGAGGGAGATGTCCGCTATCCGGTATTAGCCGCATGATTGCAGACGAAAGCTCACAACGCAGCCTCTGCATTTTGATTATACAACAAGAAAAAGACTCATTAAGGAATGCATATATGTTGACATCTTAGCATGTGTTCCAGTTTCTACTTTATAGCAACCGGACAATGTCAGTGGTCGCACAATATATTTCGCCTTAAGTTTTCCAAAACGCTTCAAACAGGCCTATCGAGTATTTGCAACGATTTTGAAGTAGGGTTTGCAATCTCTCGTGCGCTTTTTAAGATTAAGAGAATAAATTAAGTCCTTCCATCTTAAAATGATTGCGAACCATGCTTGGTTTAAGTACGACAGGAAAAGTTAAGTAGCAGGTAGGAGCTCAAAACTCACCAATATTTGTTTGTAGCTGATAATATTGTCTTGCTCGCTGCAAATCACTAGTACTTTCTGCTTCACCTGTAAAATAAGGTTTCAGACTACAAGCTTCCTATTGCCTACCCGACTTGCCGAATTCTGCGTACCACTTATATACCGTACTCACTAAGATGGCGAGAGTTTACCTGTTTTATTTGGGAAACGACATTATAGCCTCCGCTACTCATAAAACTGACTGTTGCATCTTTCCACCAAGGCAGCAGACAGTGTAAGCGTCCGACCTAATTATGGCACGATCTCTGTTAGCTTTCCATTACACATACTTCAAAAATCTAAGACAAAGATGCCAAGATAAAAATTTCGACAATATACTAGATGCATGTTTCAGTTGGAAACTTGAGTATATTAACAGAAAGATTATCTTACATTAGTCCAATCAAAGGTTGTAGCTAATGAAATGTCATTGAAGGCCAGCATATTTGCGTAGAAGCGTAGAGGGGTGCTCTTCAATAAAGAAACCTGGTGAATAAAAAGATCAGAACATTAGGCAAGCAAGCTAAGAGAATTCACATAGGGTTGAAATACCACTGTAAAGGGACACCAACCCCAGCGTAGGCCGCAGCTTTAGGTAGCTTTGCCATGTCTCCGGTGCCTTCTGCGTAGACGCTTGCATTGATTAAAACCAGCTTTTCAACCTGAAAATAGAAAACAAGAATTAAATTTATCAAATGGACACTACATAATTTCTGAAACAACGCATCTAGAGCGAAGGAGCTCAATATGATAGACACTCACAGCTACTGGATAGTGGTATGCAAAGTCAATTGCAACAGAACCACCTAGGCTTGGTCCAACTAATACCATCGGTCTTCTGATGTAGGACTTCCAAAACTATAATTCGAATGTGAAATCCAGTTATATCTCCGAGCTCAAACAATAAGATTAGATTCGAATTTTCTCAACAGATGATGAAAAATGTAGACCATTTTCGACTTAAAGTAATTAACATAACAAAATATCAAAACCATTGCAGATAGACCGAAACAATATTCACTGGAGCAACAAAAGAATAAAGAAAAGAATATCACACTCAATATATACCTGATAGAGGTGATGCCGCTTGGTTGCCGCGCTACATGGTGGACACCTTTCTAGTACAGATAACAGATAACAAATGATTAAACGGATGAACATTAAGCACTTGTTGCTAGAAAGAGACCGAAAGTATATAATCATATCCAGCCGAAAAAAAAAAACAATGAGGAAAAGGCGGGTAAAATAACCTAAATCAGAGAAGCCCCACCCAAGAACATCAACAGCCCAAGCCTCCAAACCGGCCTCTTCAAGCAGAGGGTACGCGCACCTCCATTCTAAACAAGAACTAAAAGATACAAACATGACGAAACATGTTCAGCACAAAATCACCTTGTAACGGGTCAATCTGCAATTAGCAAGCATTACAAACCTGTCAAAGCAATGGAGGAGAACCACCGGATTGATCTCACTTTGTTTTAGAGGCCTTACACAACTACTCATGATACAACTTTCCGACGCCCAATCTGCAATCGCAACCGGCTTGCCCCATTAGTCACACTATGTTAGTACGGGTAATACCCCTACATTAAAGAGAGAAATGAGAAAAGATTCAAAGTCAATGAGTAACTTCAAAATGGACAAGAAAATTGAGAATCATCAGTTCATCACATGCCACGTGCCACATACAGTTTCAATGAATATTTGAACTCAATCACATATTGAAAATCCTAGTTCCGTCACTGATCGCAACTAAAGTTTTATTAAACAAAAACTTGGAAAAGTTAGTACCTTTAGATTGATTATTTTGTATTCACAAACCATAGTTTCATGCAAAGAATATTCCCACCATATGGAAATGACTATTATCACCTTGTATCGATCACTCTAAAGTTGAGTGAGTTCACTATTCACCATCCCACAAAAGGCAAAAAGTACTTATTCCTTTCGTTGAATCACAACAAATAAAGGTCGTACCCCGTGCACAAGGCTCCCGCTTTACGCAGGGTCTGGGAGAGGTGAATGTCGGCTAGCCTTACCCCTATTTATGGAGAGGCTGCTCCCAAGTCTCGAACCCGAGACCTACCGCTCATGGGCGAAGGCACTTGTCATCGCACCAAGTGCGACCTCTGTTGAATCACAACAAATAATCACGTAAAAACAAAAATGCACTTATTCAACCACTTCCCAGTTTTGGCTGCATGCTCAAGTACTTCCCAGCTTTTGAGTCAGATGTTCTCGAAGAAGATGATGAAAATGATAAGAACAGAGAATCCCCTTAATCGGTAGAAAATTGATTTCCGCACATTCATTTTCTTCTTAAAACTTCTTAAGAAGTACACAAAAAAATAATAATAATAGCATGCGAAAATCATCTTCAGAATAAGCCCAAGTACTTTATGAAAAAATACATCGTAATTAGTGGCATTAAGCATACATGTGTTATAACTTATATGTGGATTCGACCAGTTTACGAGTTCATCAAACTCCCTCTAGTTCTAAATTAGTAAATTAGAGTAGTTTAAACTATTGTCTTCGTAAAGAAACGAAATTAGTCAGATTAACAAAAATGAGAACGAGATTACTGGGTTACCGACACAGGGAGCCTCTCCATCCTCTGAGCCAACTTTCTGGCATATGGGTCCTTAATTTTCTCAACCTCCTTTGGAAGGAACGATGGGAACCCATTATTTGTACCTGCACCCCTCATATTGATCACCACACTCCTAAAGCTTCCATCTTTCTTTGCCATTAACGTACCCACCACTGCTTCCGGCGGTGGCGACGGTGGCGCAGAACACCACATTAGCGGCATCATTCTGATTCTTCCGTTGATCTGGCAGCAGCAGAATGCCGTGCGGATTGTGCAGCTGGTTTTTGCTTTCCACTGGCAGTGAAAAACTAGAGAGAGAGAGAGAGAGTGTGCTGTCAAATAGAAAAACAAACAAAACAGAAAGGAGAGGGGATTTCTACTTGGATTGCTTAGGGCGTGACAGCACAGCAAGGTGCTCAGAAATTTGTCAACTTTTATAGCCGTAGTTTCGTTGAACGGCTTGTATCAATTTAAGAAGAGCAACTAACATTAAACACATTAACAGTTACGTCTCATCCTGATTTACAAACTTGATGGCGAACTCGTCTAAATTTACCTTACGTGCAAACCTCCGACAACTGGATGATAAAAGTTAATTTAGGTAGACAAGGGGTGTCAGATGTCAAATTTTGAGATGGGCTAAGTCTTCATACTATATATGCTATGTGTGCGGGAGCAGCAACTCGTATAAGGCAAGTAACTCAATCGCATGACATTAACATGGATTAGATGATCAACTAAATATAGAGAATCTTGCTATATTGTGAGGGGTGTCGGACGAGAAATTTTTCAAAGTCACTGGTATTCAAACGGATACTCTACGTTGAGAAGTTCGAGTTCCGATCTGTGCATAGGCTCTTAAATTTCAGGTAGATGGGTCATGGGCCCACTCCAACAACACCGATATTGTCTTCACTTGGCCACCTGCTCAATCCGTCATGTATGTGGTTTTAATACAAAAGGCCTCGATGTTAGTTAGAGTAGGGTAATTCTATTTAAAAGGCTTGTTCTCAAGCTCCATGGTCGATGTGGTACAGAGGAATTCTAACATAGGCAGTGATCATAGAAGGGTTGATCAGAGGACTTGACATCTTCTACAATGGAGTGGGAGTTCATGGGAAGAGGGAAATTCAAAAAAAAGAGAAAGAAAAGAAGAAGATTGAATGGATTATCCCGAACCCACCGGCACTATCGCACGAACCATTTATGATGACCGCATCTAGGTGGATTATGGTGTGTCATAAAATAAGTGGAGGGGCATGAAAAGAATATGTTTTTGTCACTGTAACAAAGTTGAATCTTATACAGACTTGATATGTTAATTTTAGTTTAGTTTAGTTTAGTTTTAGTTTAGTTTGAAATGCAAATTTTGCGCTACTACTGATATTTCCAGTTGCATTGGCATAAAAGTCGCAGTGGTGTTGATGGTTGAAAATTGGCTGTCGACGTTGTTGGAGCAACTATGGGTCTGTTCTTGCTCATGGAATCCGTGGAGCAAGTCTAGCTCAATACTTGCTAATGAAACATAATATTTACAACTACCTTTTTCTATCCTTTTCCTCCTGTACCCTTCCAAGATGCAGTACGCAAAAACAACAATATTATAGAGAGCGCTTGTTGACTGCATGACGCATTCTTTCTCCTCTTTTATATGGGCTTAAGATTGGCAGGATAAATTTATACAGACGAAGTTAAGACACAGTACACAACTAACCTTGTATTTTTTCACATAAACCTTCACTTTTTTTGGTTATTTAGCTGTTAGTTTTTGTTGTGCGAGAAAAGTGAAGGTTTATGTAAAAAATTCTTTGGGATTCAGCTTTGCCCCGACCAGGTTCACAGGTCATCAATATAACCATTGATACAACGGTCAATCCCTCTCATATGATGGGCACAACTGGTCTCACGCGGGTTCTACCACCGGTCATGTGTTAAGTACAACTGGTGAACACGAGAATTTATCCATGAAAATAGACAAATAAAGGAACGACTAAATCAAGTAGTTGGAAAATAAATGAGGTTGAAGAAGTGAGAAAAACAGAAAACAGTAGATTTTTACTAGGTCTGCTGCAGTGGTGCAAAATACTCGTTCAATGTCACTTGTATTTGTAATTTGAACGGGGTTCTAGGGAGGCACTCAGCCCTTAGGGCTTCTTCTCATCCACAAAATCATAGTACCTCTCCATTTATATCTCCAACCACCACTAGGGACCTATCATTACATTACAGGACATTGATGGCATTTCCTAATAAAAGCAAACTTTTCCAGGGACCTACAGGTTATAAAATTTCTTCGGAGATTCAGCTTTGCCTCGACTTGGATCACATGTCACCAATATAACTATTGATACAACGATCCAGTCCCCCTTTTATGATGGGCACAACTGGTCTCATGCGGGTTCTACCACCCTGTCATGTGTCAAATACAACTAAATCAAGTAGTTGGAAAATAAATGAAGTTGAAGAAGTGAGAAAACAGAAAACACTAAATTTTACTAGATCATGCTGCGATGGTGCAAAATACTCGTCCAATGTCACTTGTATTTGTAATTTGAACAGGGTTCTTTGGAGGCATGACTTAGCCCTTAGGGCTTCTTCTCAGCCACAAAAATCATAGTACCTCTCCATTTATATCTCCAACCACCACTAGGGACCTAACATTACACTACAGGACATTGATGGCATTTTATAACAATAGCAAACTTTTCCAGGACCTACATTAGACCTGGCAGTTTCTAACATGATACAGTGACACGATACGAAAATAACACGAAAATAATAGGTTTCGGGTTAACACGATAACTTATCGGGTCATTATCTGGTGACCCGTTAAGAACCCGTTAATAATGGGTTCTTAACGGGTATACACGTGGGTAATCCGTTTTGACCCGTTAAGAAAAAATTTATTTTGATAATTTTAAAGTTTAATTACTAAAAGATTTATTATAGCCATATTAATATATACAATATATTCTATATTAAATATATAGTTTTGTATTATTATTCTATATAAGTTTTTTAAAAAAAGTTTTAATCATTATTTATTTTTATTATGAGAGTTCCTTATTATCATTATTAGGATAAATTTTACTTAACATGTTGTTGTCCAAAATTAAAATAAACTAATATAGTATTTGTATAGGTAAGCATTAAGAAGACATGCATACAAGTATAAAAAATGTGAAAGAATATATAAACACTAGTGATTCATCATTATTCCTCCACGAGTAGATAATGGTTACACTTACATTATTGTTTAGATTTTTAAAATCCTCCAAACCTTCATGAATAATGTTTTTTATTTGAGGGAAAAATTAATAAAATTAATAATAATTATTGTAGAAGTGTAAAAAATGTATAAAATATATATATATATATATATATATATATATATATATATATATATATAATCACTCATAATGACAACTTTACAACTTTTATGAAGGGGTTAGCTTCGAAATCCAACACTATAATTCATAAACCTTAAATTTATATTTAACCGTCGATTGTCATTTACGCTTTATTCTTCTTACTAAATTTCATTTTTTAAATTTTCTTTTTTGAAAACATGATCATATGGCGGATGTAAGAAAATGAACGGTTCAGATCTTTGATCATTTCGATATTTATGGTTAACTGAAATATGAGTCGATGTCATATAATTTGTAGAAACTTTATAAACATCAAGTAATATTTTCACTAACCATATAACTCTGAATATAATATCAACGATCCAAACCGTTCATCTTCCTACATCCTCTAATAGATCAAGTTTTCAAAAAAGAAAATCTGAAAAAACAAAATTTGATGAGAATTGTTTATACCATACTTAGGGCCTCCGTATTTAGATCTCGTACAAATACTCGGAGGACTTAAATGTAATTATGTAATAAAGGAATGAGGCAAATATGTAATAAGTGAGGAGCCCTTATTCTATAAAAGGACTCCTCACCCTCATAATTGGGGGATGCCATTTCTGAGGCCACACCCTCACCCTCTCAAAGCTCTCACTCTCATAGAGAAGCTCTCTCTCTCCCTCAGAAATACAATAATCAGTGTGGATGTAGCCCAAACATTAGGGTGAACCACGATACATCTTGTGTTATTTACATTTCTTGCAGATTCACAGTCGGATTTACGTTGTTCCAAGACCTCCGGTTTTGTGCATCAACATTTGGCGCCGTCTGTGGGAATCGATACGAAAAGTTGTGTCGGTTCTCTTTCTTTTTTTCATCTCCGCCGTGAATCTGCAAACAACTTCCAGTATTATCAAATGGTCGCCTTACAACTCTTCTCATTATTTTTACTTTTCGTGATTTTCTTCTTCCATCAACAGCTACGAAAACAAAAAGAAACCCAGAAAATTTTGAGCATATATTCTTTGACTTGACTCAAGCATTTTCAGATCTACTAACCTTCTTTCCGTGGGACCACAGCCCGTATATATTTGATCTCCAATATCCTCTCCTGTCATAGTCACAAACCCATCACCTAAATCAGAGAAGCCCCACCCAAGAACATCAACAACCCAAGCCTCCAACCCGGCCTCTTCAAGCAGGGGGTACGCACACCTCCATTCTAAACAAGAACTAAAAGATACAAACATGACGAAACATGTTCAGCACGAAATCACCTTGTAACGGTCAATCTGCAATTTGCAAGCATTACAAACCTGTCAAAGCAATGGAGGAGAACCACCGGATTGATCTCACTTTGTTTTCGTGGCCTTACACAACTACTCATGATACAACTTTCCGACGACGCAATCTGCAATCGCAACCGGCTTGCCCCATTAGTCAAAATAAAAATCCCTGCCTAGGCGCTAGACGGCTAGCCACCGTTCCGATTAATGCCTAGGCGTTTGAAAATTAAGAAATGACGTTTAGACCTGTTGAGGCACCCGTTAGACCCGCCTAGGTCACGACTCAATTAGATATACAATATATAACTTTAATTTCACATTTTATTTTTTACAGTAAATTGTAAGAAACTTGTTGCATACTTAAATGAACACACATTATATCCTTGGTCCCCACGTTTTCATTATGTTCCAATACTTCATATGTCTTCTATTTTGTAGTTTATAATGAAATTATATATATTTTAAATATAAGCTAACACTTATTTATGCGAAATATAATAGATTTACTTAAGTTCGCCTAGGCGCTAGGCCCTAACCTGCCGCCCGATTAGCGCCTAGGGTCTTTTAGAACCTTGGGCAGGGGTAATAACCCTACATTAAAGAAAGAAATGAGATATTATTCAACGTCAATGAGTAACTTCAAAATGGACGAGAAAATTGGCAATCATCAGTTCATCACATGCCGTACTAGTTTGGTACTAAAGTGCTTTTATAAAAAGTGAGTATAAAAAAAAAACTGAGCTAAAAAAGGTATTTGGTAAACACTTAAAAACAGCTTATTTTCATAGTTTTAGATGAAAAAAAACTGAAAACGTGAAACAATAAAAATGAGTTTATTCTCACAGCACAGCAGAAACAATTTTTTTTTTTCAAAGCACAATAATACCAAACCAATCCGCCATGTGCCACATACAATTTCAATAAATATTTCAACTCAATCACATACTAAAAATCCTACTTCTGTCACTGATCGCAACTAAAGTTTTATTAAACAAAAACTTGGAAAAATTAGTACCTTTAGCTTGATTATTTTGTATTCACAAACCATAGTTTCATGCAAAGAATATTCCCACCATACGGAAATGACTATTATGACCTTGTATCGTTCACTCCAAAGTTGAGTTGAGTTCACCGGAAAAGGATCTATGGAATCTTAGGATCCCGTAATCGTGACCGTTTATCGTACATTATGCAGTCAAAAATCATTTCAAAATTAAAATTTAAAATTAAATATAAATAGTATATAACAAAAATTGACTGCACGATGTACGATGAACGGTCACGATTACAGATGTGGATCCCCACGAAAAGAATCTGTCAAGGATCAGATCCTTTTCCGAGTTCACCATCCCACGAACGGCAAAAAGTACTTATTCCTTTCGTTGAATCACGTCAAATAATAAGGTAAAAACAAAATGGACTTATCCAACCACTTCCCAGTTTTGGCTGAAAGCTCAAGCACTTCCCAGCCTTGGAGTTAGACGTTCTAGAAGAAGATGATGAAAATGATAAGAATAGAGAATCCATTTAATCCGTAGAAAAATTGATTCCCTTACATTCATTTTCTTCTCAAAAGGTACACAAAAATAAAAATAAAAATAAAAATAAAAATGGCATGCGGAAATCATCTTCAGAATAAACCCTCCAAGTTCTTCATGAAAAAATGTACATCATAATTAGTGGCATTAAGCATACATGGGTTATACTTGGATTAGACCAGTTTACGAGCTCATCAAACTCCCACTCCCTCTAGTTCTAAATTAGTAAATTAGAGTAGTTTAAACTAAGGTCTTTGTAAAGAAACGAAATTAGTGAGATTAACAAAAATGAGGAGATTAGCGCGTTACCGGCACAGGGAGCCTCTCCATCCTCTGAGCCAACGTTCTGGCATATGGGTCCTTAATTTTCTCAACCTCCTTTGGAAGGAACGATGGGAACCCATTATTTGTACCTGCACCCCTCATATTGATCACCACACTCCTAAAGCTTCCATCTTTCTTTGCCATTAACGTACCCACCACCGCTTCCGGCGGTGGCGACAGTGGGGCAGAACACCACATTAGCGGCATCATTCTGATTCTTCCGTTGATCTGGCAGCTGCAAAGCAGAATGCCGTGCGGATTGTGCAGCTGGTTTTTGCTTTCCACTGAAATGAAAAACTAGAGAGAGAGAGAGAGTGTGTGCTGCCAAAAAGAAAAACAAAACAAAACAGGAAGGAGAGGGGATTTCTACTTGGATTGCTTAGGGCGTGACAGCACAGTAAGGTGCTCAGAAATTTGTCAACTTTGACGGCCGTAGTTTCGTTGAACGGCTCACGTCTCATCCTGATTTACGCACTTGATGGTGAACTCGTCTAAATTTACCTTACGTGCAAACCTCCGACAACTCGATGATAAAAGTGAATTTAGGTAGACAAGGGGTGTCAGATGTCAAATTTTGAGATGGGCTAAGTCTTCATACTGTATATGCTATTTTTCTCTCAAAAAAAGCATGGGTTTGTTCTTGTGTGGAGCAGCAACTCGTATAAGGCAACTAACTCAATCGCATGACATTAACATGGATTATGATCAACTAAATATAGAGAATCTTGCTATATTTTAAGGGGTGTCGGACGAGAAATTTTTCAAAGTCACCGGTATTCAAACGGATACTCTACGTTGAGAAGTTTGAGTTCTGATCTGTGCATAGGCAGTGATCATAGAAGGGTCGATCAGAGGACTTGACATCTTCTTCAATGGTGTAAAGAGGGGAGTTCCATGGGAAGAGGAAAATTCAAAAAAAGAGAAAGAAAAGAAGATTGAATGGATTATCCCGAACCCCGCCTCCGGCACTGTTGCACGAACCATTTATGATGACCGCATCTAGGTGGATTGTGGTGTGTCATAAAATAAGTGGAGAGGCACAAAAACAATATATTTTTGTCACTGTAACGAAGTTAAATCTTGTACAGACTTGATATGTTAATTTTAGTTTAGTTTAGTTTAGGTTAGTTTGAAATGCAAATTTTGGGCTACTACTGATATTTCAGTTGCTTTGTCATAAAAGTCGCATTGGTGTTGATGGTTGAAAATTGGACGCTGGTGGAGCAACCATTGGTCTGTTCTTGCTCATGGAATCCGTGGAGCAAGTCTAGCTCAATACTTGTTGATGGAACATAATATTTAAAACTACCTTTTTCTATCCTTTTCCTCCTGTACCCTTCCAAGACGCAGTACGCAAAAACAACAATATTATAGGGAGTCGCTTGTCGACTACCTGACGCACTATTCCTCCTTTTTTATTCGGACTTAGAACCGGTAGTATAAGATAAACTTATACAGGCAAAATTAAGACGCAATACACAATTCACCTTGTATTTTATCACATAAACCTTCACTTTTTCGGTTATTTAGCTGTTAGTTTTTGTTGAGCGAGAAAAGTGAAGGTTTATGTAAAAAGGGTGTGATATCCACACATCCTATTTTACTTCTCACACACTTTTTTAATTTTCCGCCGTCGGATCGGATGAATTGAAAAAAATCAAAGGACATAAATTATCAAGGGGTGTGAGAAGTAAAATGTGGTGTGTGGATAGCACACCCCTATGTAAAAATTTCTTTGAAGATTCAGCTTTGCCCCGACCAGGCTCACAAGTCATCAATATAACCATTGATACAACGGTCCAGTCCCTCTCATATGATGGGCACAACTGGTCTCACGCGGGTTCTACTACTGGTCATGTGTTAAATACAGCTAGTGGACACAAGAACTTCTCCATGAAAATAGACAAATAAAGGAAGAACTAAATCAAGTAGTTGGAAAATAAATGAGGTTGAAGAAGTGAGAAAAACAGAAAACAGTAGATTTTACTAGATCATGCTGCAATGGTGCAAAATACTCGTTCAATGTCACTTGTATTTGTAATTTGAACGGGGTTCTTTGGAGGCATGACTCAGCCCTTAGGGCTTCTTCTCAGCCACAAAAATCAGACATAGTAGCTCTCCATTTATATCTCCAACCACCACTAGGGACCTACCATTACATTACAGGACAGTGATGGCATTTTATAATAAAACCAAACTTTTCCAGGGACCTACATGTAATACAAGTTAGCAGTCCTACCAATTCTCGGTGGTTCAAGTGGTAGGGAGCTTGTTGCCCTTAAGCAAGATCTTGAGTTCGAGCCTTGCGAGCCTCCCCCAAATCGGGTCCGACTCGGCTCGAGGGATTAGTCCTCGCCAATATGCGGGGGATACCCTGGATTCATCCAAAAAAAGTTAGCAGTCCGGTCCTTGAGTCCTTGTCAAATGTGAACTTCTGTTAACCTGGACTGGACCAGAAAAAATGAAATACAATGTACTTTGGGACTCCATGTTGTTTGGCTCTTGTAGATCTCTTCGAACACAAGATAAAAGCTGCAGATCCTTTACTTGAGGGTTTTTGAGATAGAATTTGAACCGGGATTCTGAATGCCCTCCTCTTTGAGCAATTAAGGATGGAACTCCAACTAGATCTCTGATAGTTCAATGCTTGCAGTTGAACTTTCCCGTTGCACTTCCTAAGCCAGCCGTCTCCAAAAATGGGCCTCAGTTCATCCCCCTTAACCTTCTGAGCCATGTACCGTAGATTGTTCATCAAAATTACGTGGTGCAAGGAAGGATCCTTATATAACCTGGACTTTTCGTCAAGGTTGCCTTCCAGAGTTGAAGTAAGTGATCGGAAGTGGCGAACCATTGGGAAAATTCTGCCTGGAGAATCAGTGCCTCGTCTGAGGTAGGACTCGTGTCAGGCGACAGCGAAATGGAATCAGCATCAGCACTGTCCTCAAAGAGAAAATTAAGGGTCTCTCCATAGTCTGTGAGAATCCTCAAGTAATTCATCACATATTTGGTGAGAGGATGTATTCCTCCTCCAGCAACAGGGTTACTAAATGTTGCCTTCACAGACTCACCCAATTTCATCAGAACCTCATGAGATTCAATTCTTACAGAAGTATCCCATTAGAGGTTTCCTCTAAAGAGATTTGGAGTTGAACTGAAAATTATACTTTCCAAGAGAGCTACTCCATGCTACCTTATTTAATAGTACGAGGACCTAACTACAACTCCCCAGCTCAAATAAATTACTAACTTTAAATTTTATTAGCAACAGATATATCCTTATTTTTTACTTACAGCACCTAGCATCATGTGAACGGTAAATTTATTAGCCATGCAGATTGTAGGATAAGAAATGAAGCAATGAAGTACACATTACAAATTGTGATCTGCGTACCTGGGACCACAGCCCATATATTTGATCTCCAATATCCTCTCCTGTCATAGTCACAAACCCATCAATAGATATCAAATAAGAAGGCGGATAAAATGACAACGATGAAAATTACTTCTCTCAAATCAGCTTGTTAGAGCAGCATATGCAACCCTAGAGCTGCACTTGACACTAAAGCACAAAAAATAAACCCTAATTCCAAACTCAACCAGTAAATTTAAACGCAATAAATAATCGGTGAAATCAATTTTTCATAGTTGTGAAACCAAAAAAATAATTGAAAAACTCATATTATGTGGCTAACTGGAATAATTTATCCAATTAGCTTAACTCTTGTTGGTTTCTTAGCCCCAGTTTGGATTCAGAACTTCAATACGGGATTTAATGGTATACGGAATGTACAAATCCCAAATCTTTCAAGTATCCCATTTGGCAACTCTGAAACTGAATTTCCTGAGTTCAATTCACGCCTAACAAGGTGTAGTTCAGAAAACCCCGCTAACGAATGGAAATCGATGTTTCTTTTTCTCAAAGTTTACTTCAGTTTGTTTTAAGATGGAACAAGTAAATTACAAATCTGCAGTGAAACCCTATCATTAACCAAGCTGATAACTTTCTAACTTCCGCTGTTCCAATCCCGTCATTTATTACCATTCTCTCAGTTCACTTTTATCCATTCTCTCAGCATTACTTTCTATTTCACGTTGCTTGCAATTGCATAACATACAGCATTTTATCAGAAAACTTAAGCACACAATTCACACAACAAATTGCAAATTGAATCCGAAAAATTGGAGATACACACCGCGGAAATGTTCTAGGCAAGAAGGAACTTTTCAAGCCACATCCGAACCAGCTCATTCTTGATAAGGAAATCGAAAGGCTCCGATTCCCAATAAGGGTTTACTGATCACAATCACCAATCAAAGCTTTAGAACACCAAAAAGTAAAATCCTTTTCTTAGAGAATCAATCGCGGAGGGAAAAACACGTGTAAGCAAATGAGAGGCTACCTGATGTAATGAGGTTGTTGACGACGGTGGAGAGGCCGAAGCGGGTGAGACTGGCGGGGATGGAAATGGAGGATTCTGGAACTTTGTAGGGGTGGCCGAGGTCCGTTTTGAAGAGGACGAGGACCAACAGCGACGGCTCTTCAGAATTTCCGTCGGCGTCCATCGCTTTGCTTCTGGCGGAAGAGATTGTAGAGAGAGAAAGAGGAGGAGGAGGTGGAGGTGGAGAGAGAGAGAGAGAGAGAGAGAGAGGTGGTAGCAGGGAAGGAAACTAGGGTTTAGTAACTGAAAGTAACAAGAGCCGTTCGCAACGCACCGTTTTGGTTAAGAGAGAAAATTATTTTTCCAATATTTAGTGGATTTTTGAACCAAGCTTGGTTTAAGATTAAAAGAATAAATTAAGTCCTCCATCTTAAAATGATTGCGAAACAAGCTTGGTTTAAGTACGACAGGAAAAGTTAAGTAGCAGGTAGGAGCTCAAAACTCACCAATATTTGTTTGTAGCTGATAATATTGTCTTGCTCGCTGCAAATCACTAGTACTTTCTGCTTCACCTGTAAAATAAGGTTTCAGACTACAAGCTTACTATTGCCTACCCGACTTGCGGAATTCTGCATACCACTTATATACCGTACTCATTAAGATGGCGAGAGTTTACCTGTTTTATTTGGGAAACAACATTATAGCCTCCGCTACTCATAAAACTAACTGTTGCATCTTTCCACCAAGGCAGCAGACAGTGTAAGCGTCCGACCTAAATATGGCACGATCTCTGTTAGCTTTCCATTACACATACTTCAAAAATCCAAGACAAAGATGCCAAGATAAAAATTTCGACAATATACTAGATGCCTGTTTCAGTTGGAACTTGAGTATATTAACAGAAAGATTATCTTACATTAGTCCAATCAAAGGTTGTAGCTAATGAAATGCCGTTAAAGGCCAGCATATTTGCGTAGAACCGTAGAGGGGTGCTCTTCAATAAAGAAACCTGGTGAATAAAAAGATCATAACATTAGGCAAGCAAGCTAAGAGAATTCATATAGGGTTGAAATACCGCTGTAAGGGGACACCAACCCCAGCGTAGGTCGCAGCTTTAGGTAACTTTGCCATGTCTCCGGTGCTTTCTGCGTAGACGCTTGCATTGATTAAAACCAGCTTTTCAACCTGAAAATAGAAAACAAGAATTAAATTTATGAAATGGACACTACATAATTTCTGAAACAACGCATCTAGAGCTAAGGAGCTCAATATGATAGACACTCACAGCTTCTGGATAGTGGTATGCAAAGTCAATTGCAACAGAACCACCGAGGCTTGGTCCAACTAATACCATCGGTCTTCTGATGTAGGACTTCCAAAACTATAATTCGAATGTGAAATCCAGTTATATCTCCGAGCTCAAACAATAAGATTAGATTCGAAGTTTCTCAACAGATGATGAAAAATGTAGACCATTTTCGACTTAAAGTAATTAACATAACAAAAAATCAAAACCATTGCAGATAGACCGAAACAATTCACTGGAGCAACAAAAGAGTAAAGAAAAGAAAATCACACTGCATATATATCTGATAGAGGTGATGCCGCTTGGATGCTGGGCTGCATGGTGGACACCTTTCTAGTACAGATAACAGATAAAAAAAGATTAAACGGATGAACATTAAGCACTTGTTGCAAGAAAGAGACTGGAAGTATATAATCATATGCAGCCGGAATAAAAAAAACAATGAGGAAAAGGCAGGTAAACGAACCTAAATCAGAAAAGCCCCACCCAAGAACATCAACAGCCCAAGCTTCCAACCCAGCCTCTTCAAGCAGGGGGTACGCACACCTCCATTCTAAACAAGAACTAAAAGATACAAACATGACGAAACATGCTCAGCACGAAATCACCTTGTAACAGTCAATCTGCAATTTGCAAGCATTACAAACCTGTCAAAGCAATGGAGGAGAACCACCGGATTGATCTCACTTTGTTTTCGAGGCCTTACACAACTACTCATGATACAACTTTCAGACGACGCAATCTGCAATCGCAACCGGCTTGCCCCATTAGTCAAAATAAAAATCCCCGCCTAGGCGCTAGACGGCTAGCCATCGTCCCAATTAATGCCTAGACGTTTGAAAATTAAGAAATGATGCTTAGACCTATTGAGGCACTCGTTAGACCCGCCTAGGTCGCAACTCAATTAGACAGACAATATATAACTTTAATTTCACATTTTATTTTTTACAATAAATTGTAAGAAACTTGTTGCATACTTAAATGAACACACATTATATCCTTGGTCCCCACGTTTTCATTATGTTCCAATATTTCATAATATATGTCTTCTATTTTGTAGTTTATAATGAAATTATATATATTTTAAGTATAAGCTAACACTTATTTATGCGAAATATAATAGATTTACTTAAGTCCGCCTAGCCTCTACCTAGCCGCCTAGGCGCTAGGCCCTAACCCGCCGCCCGACTAGCACCTAGGGTCTTTTAGAACCTTGGGCAGGGGTAATACCCCTACATCAAAGAAAGAAATGAGATATTATTCAGAGTCAATGAGTAACTTCAAAATGGACAAGAAAATTGAGAATCATCAGTTCATCACATGCTGTACTAGTTTGGTACTAAAGTGCTTTTATAAAAAGTGAGTATAAAAAAAACTGAGCTTAAAAATGTATTTGGTAAACACTTAAAAACAACTTATTTTCATAGTTTTGGGTGAAAAAAGCTGAAAACGTGAAACAATAAAAATGAGTTTATTCTCACAGCACAGCAGAAACAATTTTTTTTTTCAAAGCACAGCAATACCAAACCAATCCGCCATGTGCCACATATAATTTCAATAAATATTTCAACTCAATCACGTACTAAAAATCCTACTTCTGTCACAACTAAAGTTTTATTAAACAAAAACTTGGAAAAATTAGTACCTTTAGCTTGATTATTTTGTATTCACAAACCATAGTTTCATGCAAAGAATATTCCCACCATACGGAAATGACTATTATGACCTTGTATCGTTCACTCCAAAGTTGAGTTGAGTTCACCGGAAAAGGATCCATGGAATCCTAGGATCCCGTAATTGTGAACGTTCATCGTATATTATGCAGTTAGAAATCATGTCAAAATTTAAAATTTAAAGTTACATATAAATAGCATATAACAAAAACTGACTGCACGATGTACGATGAACGGTCACGATTACAGATGTCTGGGATCCCCACGAAAAAGATCTGTCAAGGATCAGATCCTTTTCCGAGTTCACCATCCCACGAACGGCAAAAAGTACTTATTCCTTTCGTTGAATCACGTCAAATAATAAGGTAAAAACAAAATGCACTTATCCAACCACTTCCCAGTTTTGGCTGAAAGCTCAAGCACTTCCCAGCCTTGGAGTTAGACGTTCTAGAAGAAGATGATGAAAATGGTAAGAATAGAGAATCCATTTAATCCGTAGAAATATTGATTCCCTTACATTCATTTTCTTCTCAAAAGGTACACAAAAATAAAAATAAAAATAAAAATAGCATGCGGAAATCATCTTCAGAATAAACCCACCAAGTACTTCATGAAAAAATGTACATCATAATTAGTGGCATTAAGCATACATGGGTTATACGTGGATTAGACCAGTTTACGAGCTCATCAAACTCCCACTCCCTCAAGTTCTAAATTAGTAAATTAGAGTAGTTTATACTATCGTCTTTGTAAAGAAACGAAATTAGTGAGATTAACAAAAATGAGGAGATTAGCGCGTTACCGGCACAGGGAGCCTCTCCATCCTCTGAGCCAACGTTCTGGCATGGGTCCTTAATTTTCTCAACCTCCTTTGGAAGGAACGATGGGAACCCATTATTTGTACCTGCACCCCTCATATTGATCACCACACTCCTAAGGCTTCCATCTTTCTTTGCCATTAACGTACCCACCACCGCTTCCGGCGGTGGCGACAGTGGGGCAGAACACCACATTAGCGGAAGTGGTGGCGACAGTGGGGCAGAACACCACATTAGCGGCATCATTCTGATTCTTCCGTTGATCTGGCAGCTGCACAGCAAAATGCCGTGCGGATTGTGCAGCTGGTTTTTGCTTTCCACTGAAGTGAAAAACTAGAGAGAGAGAGTGTGTGCTGCCAAATAGAAAAACAAAACAAAACAGGAAGGAGAGGGGATTTCTACTTGGATTGCTTAGGGCGTGACAGCACAGTAAGGTGCTCAGAAATTTGTCAACTTTGACGGCCGTAGTTTCGTTGAACGGCTCACGTCTCATCCTGATTTACGCACTTGATGGTGAATTCTGTTGGGGCTTAAAAAGACTTCACTATTTTTGGAGATGTTTATCTTACAAAGAAGAATGTAATGCAGCGGAATTGATAGGCAAGAGAAAGAAAGAACACTCAATGTATTACACAAGATTTTTATTCACTCACAAACTTAGTGCAAGACGAAACACTCAAACACTCTTAGAAGCTTTGTTACTTCTTCTCACTTCACACTACTTGCTCTCTTGGTTGTTTCAAATGGTGTGGATGCCTTCTCCTTTTATAGGCATGGATGGAACCTTGGAGAAGCATGGAAGCATCATGCTAGAGATATCTAGATAATTCCACTACATTCCTATGCGAGAATTATCTACACTAATCTTGTATGTTGGTGGAATCCTCACCATTCTTCTAGACTCTTCCACCAACTTGAATTTTGCTAGAATTCTCTAGCATGCGCATGAATCTTTCTTTGTGCATGGGCTAGATCCATTATCTTTGAGCCAAGACAAGATTACAATTCAACAAACTTGTCTAAATTTACCTTACGTGCAAACCTCCGACAACTCGATGATAAAAGTGAATTTAGGTAGCCAAGGGGTGTCAGATGTCAAATTTTGAGATGGGCTAAGTCTTCATACTATATATGCTATTTTTCTCTCAAAAAAAGCATGGGTTTGTCTTTGTTCTTGTGTGCGAGAGCAGCAACTCGTATAAGGCAACTAAGGGCTGGTTTGGTATTGCTGTGCTTTGAAAAAAAACTGTTGTGAAAATAAGCGGCTGTGCTGTGAGAATAAGCGGCTGTGAAATAAATCAGCAGAGTGTTTGGTAAACTTTTTTGTAAAAGTGCTTTTGGAAAAAAAAGCAGTCTAATAGTGGGTCTTTTCATTAAAGAAGCACTGTAGCTCTGTGTGCTTTGAAAAAAAGCCAGTTTTCCAAAGCTACAAATAGCAGCTTCAGCTTTTTCCTTTGATTTCAGCTTATTCTCACAGCAGCTTCCAAAATAAGCCATTTTTTTTCAGTTTACCAAACACCTAAAACCCTCACAGCTTTTTTTCATGGGTGCTTTTTTTTTAAGCACCTCACTCCCAAACTAGGTCTAACTCAATCGCATGACATTAACATTGATTATGATCAACTAAATGTAGAGAATCTTGCTATATTTTAAGGGGTGTCGGATGAGAAATTTTTCAAAGTCACCGGTATTCAAACGGATACTCTATGTTGAGAAGTTCGAGTTCTGATCTGTGCATAGGCAGTGATCATAGAAGGGTCGATCAGAGGACTTGACATCTTCTTCAATGGTGTAAAGAGGGGGAGTTCCATGGGAAGAGGAAAGTTCAAAAAAAGAGAAAGAAAAGAAGATTGAATGGATTATCCCAAACCCTGCCTCCGGCACTATTGCATGAACCATTTATGATGACCGCGTCTAGGTGGATTGTGGTGTGTCATAAAATAAGTGGAGGGGCACAAAAAAATATATTTTTGTCACTGTAACGCAGTTAAATCTTGTACAGACTTGATAAGTTAATTTTAGTTTAGTTTAGTTTAGTTTCGTTTAGTTTGAAATGCAAATTTTGGGCTACTACTGATATTTCAGTTGCATTGTCATAAAAGTCGCATTGGTGTTGATGGTTGAAAATTGGCTGTCGACGCTGGTGGAGTAACTATTGGTCTGTTCTTGCTCATGGAATCCGTGGAGCAAGTCTAGTTCATCTCTTGCTGATGGAACATAATATTTAAAACGACCTTTTTCTATCCTTTTCCTCCTGTACCCTTCCAAGACGCAGTACGCAAAAACAACAATATTATAGGGAGTTGCTTGTCGACTACCTAACGCACTATTCCTCCTCTTTTATTCGGGCTTAGAACCGGTAGTGTAAGATAAATTTATACAGGCAAAATTAAGACGCAATACACAACTAACCTTGTATTTTATCACATAAACCTTCACTTTTTTCGGTTATTTAGCTGTTAGTTTTTGTTGAGCGAGAAAAGTGAAGGTTTATGTAAAACGGGTGTGATATCCACACACCCCATTTTACTTCTCACACACCTTTTTAATTTTCCGCCCTCGGATCGGATGAATTGAAGAAGATCAACGGACATAAATTATCAAGAGGTGTGTGAGAAGTAAAATGAGATGTGTGGATAGCACACCCCTATGTAAAAATTTCTTTGAAGATTCAGCTTTGCCCCGACCAGGCTCACAAGTCATCAATATAACCATTGATACAACGGTCCAGTCCCTCTCATGTGATGGGCACAACTGGTCTCACGCGGGTTCTACTACCGGTCATGTGTTAAATACAAGTTATACAACTAGCGGACACAAGAACTTCTCCATGAAAATAGACAAATAAAGGAAGAACTAAATCAAGTAGTTGGAAAATAAATGAGGTTGAAGAAGTGAGAAAAACAGAAAACAGTAGATTTTACTAGATCATGCTGCAATGGTGCAAAATACTCGTTCAATGTCACTTGTACTTGTAATTTGAACGGGGTTCTTTGGAGGCATGACTCAGCCCTTAGGGCTTCTTCTCAGCCACAAAAATCAGACATAGTAGCTCTCCATTTATATCTCCAACCACCACTAGGGACCTACCATTACATTACAGGACAGTGATGGCATTTTATAATAAAACCAAACTTTTCCAGGGACCTACATGTAATAAAAGTTAGCAGTCCTACCAATGCTTGGTGGTTGAAATGGTAAGGAGCTTGTTCCCCTTAAACAAGATCTTAGGTTTGAGCCTTGCGAATGGACCCTCCCTCGAATCGGGTCCGACTCGGCTCGAGGGATTAGTCCTCGCCAATGTGCGGGGGATACCATGGATTCATCCAAAAAAAGTTAGCAGTCCGGTCCTTGAGTCCTTGTCAAATGTGAACTTCTGTTAACCTGGACTGGACCAGAAAAAATGAAATACAATGTACTTTGGGACTCCATTTTGACAAGTCTTGCTGAACACTGAACAATCTTACTGCGACTTAGACATCGACTTAGAGAGGAAAACGCGGATGCAGCCGGGAATATATCAACGTATCTATCTCTTGCTCGTCACGTGACTTCCTTTATTTTGTTTGTGAATGAAACGCTTGCTCATGTGACGAGTGTGACAGAGACAATCGTGTATATCTCTGGTTACATGCAAAGGAGTCCCCAACTTCAAATACATTGGCCTTTCAAGCCCTTCTGAAGAATTTTTCTTGCAACCAGTGATTTACCGTATGTGTGTCTCAAGCGTCACGTGACCTTATGATGAATCACCAGTTACAAGAGATGAAACTTTGACTTGGTATGGACTACTGGTGCCAAATCTACTCACATGGTATCGTAGCCTTGAGTTTGCAGCAACGGCTGAAGCAGAGGACTTTATGACAGAATCACCACCCAATTTTGACAAACTTGAAGACAAACAGATTCAACAAAAGCACATAAAGTTGCATACGAAAATCTGCTTCGCTCAATCTTATATCAGTTAGGACATCCAATGCAGAGGTCAGAAAAGTAAACCGAATTCAGCACATTACAAACGATACACACGCGAAAACTTGCTTCATTCAATCTTATATCAGTTAGGACTTAGGATATCCAATGCAGAGGTCAGAAAGAAAACCGAATTCATCACATAACAAACGTTATACACACGAAAACTACCGAGGGAAAGAATCCCTTTTCAATTTTCATGGGGGAATCCTGGCCTGTTGTAACAATCAAAACATATATGAGCATGAAATGAAAAGCCTTCCTTGGCTGTAAACAATAACATGACAATAGTCACAATACCACTTATTATGCTGTCACCTCCTGCTGGAATTTTGTAATGATTTCGGGGATCCCTCGAAGAGATCCAAGAGGTAATTTTGCAAATCGTCCGCACTGTACTTGATGAGCTTGTCACTTATGTCGTTTGAATGTCTTCCCACGAATGTCCTATAAGCTTGGATTACATTCAGGGATGCTGAGATTTGCACATCTTCTCGAAGCTGAGGATCTGGAATGAACCATGTTGTTTGGCTCTTGTAGATCTCTTCGAACACAAGATGCGGAGCCTTTCCTTGAGGGTTTTTGAGATAGAATTTGAACCGGGATTCTGAATGCCTCCTCTTTGAGCAAATTAAGGATGGAACTCCAACTAGATCTCTGGTAATGCTTGCTGTTGAACTTTCCCGTTGCACTTCCGAAGCCAGCCGTCTCCGAAACTGGGCCTCAGTTCATCCCCCTTAACCTTCTGAGCCATGTACCATAGATTGTTCATCAAAAATACGTGGTGCAAGGAAGGATCCTTATATAACCTGGACTTTTCGTCAAGGTTGCCTTCCAGAGTTGAAGTGATCGGAAGTGGCGAACCATTGGGAAAATTCTGCCTGGAGAATCAGTGGGATTGTTCTCCTCGTCTGAGGTAGGACTTGTGTCAGGCAACAGCGAAATGGAATCAGCATCAGCACTGTCCTCAAAGAGAAAATTAAGGGTCTCTCCATAGTCTGTGAGAATCCTCAAGTAATTCATCACATATTTGGTGAGAGGATGTATTCCTCCTCCAGCAACAGGGTTACTAAATGTTGCCTTCACAGACTCACCCAATTTCATCAGAACCTCATGAGATTCAATTCTTACAGAAGTATCCCATTAGAGGTTTCCTCTGAAGAGATTTGGAGTTGAACTGAAAATTATACTTTCCAAGAGAGCTACTCCATGCTACCTTATTTAATAGTACGAGGACCTAACTACAACTCCCCAGCTCAAATAAATTACTAACTTTAAATTTTATTAGCAACAGATATATCCTTATTTTTTACTTGCATCACCTAGCATCATGTGAATTCAGAACTTATCCAATTAGCTTAACTCTTGTTGGTTTCTTAGCCCCAGTTTGGATTCAGAACTTCAATACGGGATTTAATGGTATACAGGATGTACAAATCCCAAATCTTTCAAGTATCTCATTTGGCAACTCTGAAACTGAATTTCCTGAGTTCAATTTACGCCTAACAAGGTGTAGTTCAGAAAACCCCGCTAACGAATGGAAATCGATGTTTCTTTTTCTCAAAGTTTACTTCAGTTTGTTTTAAGATGGAACAAGTAAATTACAAATCTGCAGTGAAACCCTATCATTAACCAAGCTGATAACTTTCTAACTTCCGCTGTTCCAATCCCGTCATTTATTACCATTCTCTCAGTTCACTTTTATCCATTCTCTCAGCATTACTTTCTATTTCACGTTGCTTGCAATTGCATAACATACAGCATTTTATCAGAAAACTTATGCACACAATTCACACAACAAATTGCAAATTGAATCCGAAAAATTGGAGATACACACCGCGGAAATGTTCTTGGCAAGAAGGAACTTTTCAAGCCACATCCGAACCAGCTCATTCTTGATAAGGAAATCGAGAGGCTCCGATTCCCAATAAGGGTTTACTGATCACAATCACCAATCAAAGCTTTAGAACACCAAAAAGTAAAACCCTTTTTTTAGAGACTCAATCGCGGAGGGAAAAACACGTGTAAGCGCATGAGAGGCTACCTGATGTAATGAGGTTGTTGACGACGGTGGAGAGGCCGAAGCGGGTGAGACTGGCGGGGATGGAAATGGAGGATTCTGGAACTTTGTAGGGGTGGCCGAGGTCCGTTTTGAAGCTGACGAGGACCAACAGCGACGGCTCTTCGGAATTTCCGTCGGCGTCCACCGCTTTGCTTCTGGCGGAAGAGATTGTAGAGAGAGAAAGAGGAGGAGGAGAGAGAGAGAGAGAGAGAGAGAGAGAGAGGTGGAGGTGGTAGCAAGCTAGCGGCAGGGTTTAAGACAAAAGCGAGGGAAGGAAAACTAGGGTTTAGTAACTGAAAGTAACAAGAGCCCTTCGCAACGCACCGTTTTGGTTAAGAGAGAAAATTATTTTTCCAATATTTAGTGGATTTTTGAACCGATAATTGTTTAGTTCTTTAAAATAGATGGTAGTAATTTAGTAAATAAGAAGACAAGTAATATATTAGCTAGAGCAATGTTTTGTTCCTGCAACAAGCTCCAATCTTCTCTGGTTGTTTAAATTAATTTAAAGTACAATGTTATTTGGACCTAAATTTACACAATCGACCCGTGCAATCAAGGTTGTTGAGTAAGCATAGTTCTCAATCGCCAGATGGAAAAGTGAAGATATTTTTGTTATTGTTAAAAGATAATATTATGGTTTTTGTCATAGTAATTATTTTTTAATTTGAATTATCTTAGCATTATATCTTCGAACAAGTACAGTTTGAGTGAACTTGGGATTACTGCTATCAGATTGGAGAAACTTGGTAGATGAGGTTTGAAAAGTCATGGTGCATGCACGGATGGTTATGGAGAAGCCTAGATAGGCTTGGCTTTTGGTGGTGATGTGATAAGTCTAAGCTTTAATAGTCTTGGATAATGATGACAAGCCTAGGTAGGCTAGGCTATGATGATAAGACTTTTATTTGAATAGGTTTTTATGAGGTTTGGAAAATCGTGAACATCTATATGAAGGATATGCCTTGGTCTCTGATGCGGATTAATTTCAATTACGCGGAAAAGAATTGCATTGGACTCTACAAGCACCATCAGGCTGTGCCAGGTAGATATCTAATGCTATAAATACATGAAGGCTGTGCAGCATTCAGGGACCTCCAACTCAACACACAAACTGCCCTGCGCAAACCCTCGCTTTCGCGAAACCTCTCAACAACTTTGAGATTTTTATTTTCCTTTCCCGTCAACACATCTTTAGTTTGGATAAACAGCACTGTGAAGGCAACCGGTGAACATCTTTAGTTTGGATAAACAACACTGTTTCCGTAGAATCAGTCGATCGCGGAGCACCTTCAGTTTGGATAAACAGCACTGCGTCGAGGCCGACTAGTTATCTATCCAAGTCTCGGTCGAGAAGGATTTTCGAATCCTTATTGGCAGAGGTCATCTCATTAGCCTTCTCGGCGAAGTGAGGTGTTACAAGTTACTACGTTCGGCACATTGAAAGCCGAATTTGATATTGAACTTCGCAGAACTAGCAGTCTTGTCTTCACGCTCTAGAACCCGAAGGCCGATAGTGTTCCTTCCTCGACCGCAGTCTCAAGATCTAGAAGTCGGTTGCGCGCTTAACGCAACATCAACATATTTTACTCCTCGGCCGAGCTCGGCCGACGAGTTGGCACGCCCCGCATACAACAGAAGGACGTAGTTAGCTTATTAGTTACTCGGTCTGCACGCCACGTAGGCTCGGTAGTTTTTAGGGTCAACAAATGTGAATAAACATTTAAAGCTTAAAACACACCAATGTTCTAAATGAAACCTGAATTATCCGAATATCGGAAGTAGAAATAAATTTGACTATGGATTTGAGCCATAGCACATGGTTTTAAAAAATTGTACCGTTTTCCCGATCTATATAAAGTAGGTTTACCGAATGATATATAGGTCCAGCTACAATAGCGCGTATTATTCAATAGTATATGTTTTACGCAAGATCTAACTGTTACAAAAATTTATTGTTCTTTTAGATTCATATATGCAAGATCTAACTATTAATTTTTCGGATCACTCAATCATACGCACCACATAACAAACATTGCAATTTTTCTTTCATATTATGTTAGAAGTGTGAAGAAAAAATAAGATTGCAAGTATCTGCAAGTATGTTGATATTTTACTGAGCGAAAGATGCAAACCAATATTTTTTGTATTTTTCAATAGAAATGATATTAGTTAAGGGAAATTCGAACACAAGACTCGTATACCGAACTATTTAATCGTAATTATTTTTTGTCTCTAATATTCATAAATTTTTTTGGCTAGTTGTTCAATCTCTTATTCAAATTCACATTATATAAACAAATATGATAAATGTTAAGTCCTAGAACTACAACCACAACTATAAAAATAAGTACAACAACAACAACGAAGCCTAATGGGGTCGGCTGTATGAACTATATAACATCATTACGCTTGGTTTTGCGCTAAATCTTCCTTTAGCTCACAACTATAAAAGGAAGTGTTTAAAGAAAAACTTAGTATTGCTAAGAAGAAGAACGGGCCTCTTAGCAGGGAGTAAGTCCTATAATTCTGCCACAGAGGACCAGAGGTGGGATTCTCTCAGCAACGACCGTTCCGAGCAAACCCTGCAATTAGTTTTGCAATGGAGGCAGGATTATCAACGTGAGGGAGATGACCGCTATCCGGTATTAGCCGCATGATTGCAGACGAAAGCTCACAACGCAGCCTCTGCATTTTGATTACAACAAGAAGAAGACTCATTAAGGAATGCATATATGTTGACATCTAGCATGTGTTCCTATTTCTACTTTATAGCAACCGGCAATGTCAGTGGTCGCACAATATATTTCGCCTCAAGTTTTCCAAAACGCTTCAAACAGGCCTATCAAGTATTTGCAACGATTTTGAAGTAGGGTATGCAATCTCTCGTGCATTTTTTAAGATTAAAAGAATAAATTAAGTCCTCTATCTTAAAATGATTGCGAAACATGCTTGGTTTAAGTACGACCGGAAAAGTTAAGTAGCAGGTAGGAGCTCAAAACTCACCAATATTTGTTTGTAGCTGATAATATTGTCTTGCTCGCTGCAAATCACTAGTACTTTCTGCTTCACCTGTAAAATAAGGTTTCAGAATACAAGCTTACTATTGCCTACCCGACTTGCGGAATTCTGCATACCACTTATATACCATACTCATTAAGATGGGGAGATTTTACCTGTTTTATTTGGGAAACGACATTATAGCCTCCGCTACTCATAAAACTGACTGTTGCATCTTTCCACCAAGGCAGCAGACAGTGTAAGCGTCCGACCTAAATATGGCACGATCTCTGTTAGCTTTCCATTACACATACTTCAAAAATCTAAGATAAAGATGCCAAGATAAAAATTTCGACAATATACTAGATGCCTGTTTCAGTTGGAACTTGAGTATATTAACAGAAAGATTATCTTACATTAGTCCAATCAAAGGTTGTAGCTAATGAAATGTCGTTGAAGGCCAGCATATTTGCGTAGAAGCGTAGAGGGGTGCTCTTCAATAAAGAAACCTGGTGAATAAAAAGATCAGAAATTAGGCAAGCAAGCTAAGAGAATTCACATAGGGTTGAAATATCGTTGTAAGGGGACACTAACCCCAGCGTAGGTCGCAGCTTTAGGTAACTTTGCCATGTATCCGGTGCCTTCTGCGTAGACGCTTGCATTGATTAAAACCAGCTTTTCAACCTGAAAATAGAAAACAAGAATTAAATTTATGAAATGGACACTACATAATTTCTGAAACAACGCATCTAGAGCGAAGGAGCTCAATATGATAGACACTCACAGCTACTGGATAGTGGTATGCAAAGTCAATTGCAACAGAACCACCTAGGCTTGGTCCAACTAATACCATCGGTCTTCTGATGTAGGACTTCCAAAACTATAATTCGAATGTGAAATCCAGTTATATCTCCGAGCTCAAACAATAAGATTAGATTCGAATTTTCTCAACAGATGATGAAAAATGTAGACCATTTTCGACTTAAAGTAATTAACATAACAAAATATCAAAACCATTGCAGATAGACCGAAACAATATTCACTGGAGCAACAAAAGAATAAAGAAAAGAATATCACACTGCATATATACCTGATAGAGGTGATGCCGCTTGGTTGCCGCGCTGCATGGTGGACACCTTTCTAGTACAGATAACATATAACAAATGACAGATAACAAATGATTAAACGGATGAACATTAAGCACTTGTTGCAAGAAAGAGACTGGAAGTATATAATCATATCCAGCCGGAAAAAATAAAAAAATAAAACAATGAGGAAAACGCAGGTAAACGAACCTAAATCAGAGAAGCCCCACCCAAGAACATCAACAGCCCAAGCCTCCAACCCGGCCTCTTCAAGCAGGGGGTACACGCACCTCCATTCGAAACAAGAACTAAAAGACACAAACATGACGAAACATGTTCAGCACTAAATCACCTTGTAACGGGTCAATCTGCAATTTGCAAGCATTACAAACCTGTCAAAGCAATGGAGGAGAACCACCGGATTGATCTCACTTTGTTTTAGAGGCCTTACACAACTACTCATGATACAACTTTCCGACAACCCAATCTGTAATCACAACCGGCTTGCCCCATTAGTCACACTATGTTAGCAGGGGTAATACCCCTACATTAAAGAGAGAAATGAGAAATTATTCTAAGTCAATGAGTAACTTCAAAGTGGACGAGAAAATTGAGAATCATCTGTTCATCACATGCCACGTGCCACATACAGTTTCAATGAATATTTCAACTCAATTACATATTGAAAATCCTAGTTTCGTCACTGAGCGCAACTAAAGTTTTATTAAACAAAAACTTGGAAAAATTAGTACATTTAGCTTGATTATTTTGTATTCACAAAAAATAGTTTCATGCAAAGAATATTCCCACCATATGGAAATGACTATTATCACCTTGTATCGATCACTCCAAAGTTGAGTGAGTTCACTGTTCACCATCCCACAAAAGGCAAAAAGTACTTATTCCTTTCATTGAATCACGACAAATAATCAAGTAAAAACAAAAATGCACTTATTCAACCACTTCCCAGTTTTGGCTGCAAGCTCAAGTACTTCCCAGCTTTTGAGTCAGATGTTCTTGAAGAAGATGATGAAAATGAAAAAAAACAGGGAATCCCTTTAATCGGTAGAAAATTAATTTTCGCATATTCATTTTCTTTTTAAAACTTCTCGAGAAGTACACAAAAACAAAAATAATAATAGCATGCGAAAATCATCTTAGGAATAAGCCCAAGTACTTCATGAAAAAATGTACATCATAATTAGTGGCATTAAGCATACATGTGTTATAACTTATATGTGGATTAGACCAGTTTAAGAGCTCATCAAACTCCCTTTAGTTCTAAATTAGTAAATTAAAGTAATTTAAACTCGTAAATAAACGAAATTAGTCAGATTAACAAAAATGAGAACGAGATTAGTGGGTTACCGACACAGGGAGCCTCTCCATCCTCTGAGCCAACTTTCTGGCATATGGGTCCTTAATTTTCTCAACCTCCTTTGGAAGGAACGATGGGAACCCATTATTTGTACCTGCACCCCTCATATTGATCACCACACTCCTAGAGCTTCCATCTTTCTTTGCCATTAACGTACCCACCATCGCTTCCGGCGGTGGCGACGGTGGTGCAGAACACCACATTAGCGGCATCATTCTGATTCTTCCGTTGATCTGGCAGCAGCAGAATGCCGTGCGGATTGTGCAGCTGGTTTTTGCTTTCCACTGGAAGTGAAAAACTAGAGAGAGAGAGAGAGTGTGTGTGCTGCCAAATAGAAAAACAAAACAAAACAGAAAGGAGAGGGGATTTCTACTTGGATTGCTTAGGGCGTGACAGCACAGTAAGGTGCTCAGAAAATTTTCAACTTTTACAGCCGTCGTTTCGTTGAACGGCTTGTATCAATTTAAGAAGAGCAACTAACATTAAACACATTCACTGTTACGTCTCATCTTGATTTACACACTTGATGGCGAACTCGTCTAAATTTACCTTACGTGCAAACCTCCGACAACTCGATGATAAAAGTGAATTTAGGTAGAAAAGGGGTATCAGATGTCAAATTTTGAGATGGGCTAAGTCTTCATACTATATATGCTATGTGTGCGAGAGCAGCAACTCGTATAAGGCAACTAACTCAATCGCATGACATTAACATGGATTAGATGATCAACTAAATATAGAGAATCTTGCTATATTGTAAGGGGTGTCGGACGAGAAATTTTTCTCAGTCACTGGTATTCAAACGGATACTCTACGTTGAGAAGTTCGAGTTCTGATCTGTGCATAGGCGGTGATCATAGAAGGGTCGATCAGAGGACTTGACATCTTCTTCAATGGTGTAAAGAGGAGGAGTTCCGTGGGAAGAGGAAAATTAAAAAAAAAAAGAAAGAAAAGAAGAAGATTGAATGGATTATCCTGAACCCGCCTCCGGCATTATCGCACAAACCATTTATGATGACCGCGTCTAGGTGGATTGTGGTGTGTCATAAATAAGTGGAGGGGCAAAAAAAAAAAAAAAAAGTTGTCCCTGTAACGAAGTTGAATCTTGTACAGACTTGATATGTTAATTTTAGTTTAATTTAGTTTAGTTTTAGTTTAGTTTGAAATGCAAATTTTGAGCTACTACTGATATTTCCGGTTGCATTGGCATAAAAGTCGCATTGGTGTTGATGGTTGAATATTAAGGGAGTTGCTTGTCGACTACCTAACACACTCTTCCTCCTCTTTTATCCGGGCTTAGGACCGGCAGTGTAAAATAAACTTATACAAGCAAAGTTAAGACACAGTACACAACTAACCTTGTATTTTTTCACATAAACCTTCACTTTTCGGTTATTTAGCTGTTAGTTTTTGCTGTGCGAGAAAAGTAAAGGTTTATGTAAAAATTTCTTTGGAGATTCAGCTTTGCCCCGACCAAGCTCACAGGTCATCAATAAAATCATTCATACAAAGGTCCAGTCCCTCTCGTATGATGGGTACAACCGATCTCTCGCGGGTTCTACTACCGGTCATGTGTCAAATACAGTTGGCAGACACAAAGAATTTCTCCATTTAAAGAGACAAATAAAGGAACGACTAAATCAAGTAGTTGGAAAATAAATGAGGTTGAAGAAGTGAGAAAAACAGAAAACAATTGATTTTTGCTGCAATGGTGCAAAATACTCTTTCAATGTCACTTGTATTTGTAATTTGAATGGGGTTCTTGGGAGGCATGACTCAGCCCTTAGGACTTCTTCTCAGCCACAAAAATCAGACAGAGTAGCTCTCCGTTTATATCTCCAACCACCACTAGGGACCTAACATTACATTACAGGACATTGATGGCATTTCCTAACAAAAGCAAACTTCTCCAGGGACCTACAGGTAATAAAAGTTAGCAGTCCGGTCCTTGAGTCCTTGTCAAATGTGAACTGGAAAATTCTGTTAACCTGGACTGGACCTAAAAAACAGAAACACAATGTACTTGTGACTCCATTTTGACCTAGTCTTGCTGAACAATCTTACTGCGACTTGGACATCAACTTCGAGAGGAAAATGCGGATGCAGCGGATAATATATCCACGTATGTATATCTTGCTCACGTGACATCCTTTATTTTGTTTGTGAGTGAAGTGATTGCTCAAATAAATTAGCCTTTCAAGCCTTTTTGAAGAATTTTTCGTGCAACCAGTGATTACCGTATGTCTGTCTCAAGCGTCACTTGACCTTATGATGAATCACCAGTAACAAGAGATGAAACTTTGAGTTGGTATGGACTACTGGGGCCAAATCTACTCACATGGTATCATAGTCTTGAGTTTGCTGCAACAGCTGAGGCATAGAACTTTATGACAGAATCACCACCCAATTTTGACAAACTTGAAGAGAAACATATTCGGCAAAAGCACATAAAGTTGCATACGAAAATCTGCTTCGCTCAATCTTATATCAGTTAGGACAGCCAAAGCAGAGGTCAGAAAAATAAACCGAATTCATCACATTAAAAATGATACACACGCGAAAACTTGCTTCATTCAATCTTATATCAGTTAGGATATCCAATGCAGAGGTCAGAAAAGTGAACTGAATTCATCACATTACAAACGTTACACACACGAAAACTACCGAGGGAAAGAATCCCTTTTCAATTTTCATGGGGGAATCCTGGCCAGTTGTAACAATCAAAACATATATGAGCATGAAATGAAAAGCCTTCCTCTGCTGTAAATAATAACATGACAATAGTCACAATACCACTTATTATGCTGTCACCTCCTGCTGGAATTTTGTAATGATTTCGGGGATCCCTCAAGGAGATCCAAGAGGTAATTCTGCAAATCGTCCGCACTGTACTTGATGAGCTTGTCACTTATGTCGTATGAATGTCTTCCCACAAATGTCCTATAAGCTTGGATTACATTCAGGGATGCTGAGATTTGCACATCTTCTCGAAGCTGAGGATCCGGAATGAACCATGCTGTTTGGCTCTTGTAGATCTCTTCGAATGCAAGATAAAAGCTGCGGAGCCTTTCCTTGAGGGTTTTTGAGATAGAATTTGAACCGGGATTCTGAATGCCCTCCTCTTTGAGCAAATTAAGGATGGAACTCCAACTAGATCTCTGGTAGTTTAATGCTTGCTGTTGAACTTTCCCGTTGCACTTCCGAAGCCAGCCGTCTCCGAAAATGGGCCTCAGTTCATCCCCCTTAACCTTCTGAGCCATGTACCGTAGATTGTTCATCAAAAATACGTGTTGCAAGGAAGGATCCTTGTATAACCTGGACTTTTCGTCAAGGTTGCCTTCCAGAGTTGAAGTAAGTGATCGGAAGTGGCGAACCATTGGGAAAATTCTGCCCGGAGAATCAGTGGGTTTGTTCTCCTCGTCTGAGGTAGGACTCGTGTCAGGCGACAGCGAAATGGAATCAGCATCAGCACTGTCCTCGAAGAGATAATTAAGGGTCTCTCCATAGTCTGTGAGAATCCTCAAGTAATTCATCACATATTTGGTGAGAGGATGTATTCCTCCTCCAGCAACAGGGTTAGTCGAGGGGTTTGATGCAATGGCGCTCTCAAATTTACTAAATGTTGCCTTCACAGACTCACCCAATTTCATCAGAACCTCATGACACTCAATTCTTACAGAAGAACCAGCCTCGTCTGCGTATAAAGCATCTATGTCGGGAAGAACATCTGCAAGCACCTCATACATGTCAAGAATGCGGAACAACTTTTCCGGTTGGTGGGGGCCAATAGACATGGCTTCACCAAAATTCAGAAGCTGCAGCATTGAAGCCTTTGATGCCTCAACAAAACAATCCAAATAAATCGCTCCAAGCTCCCCAAAAATCTGATCACTGAGCGATCTCTCGCTAGCTAGATAAACTCGCACGAAGATCTTCATACCCCAGACCCATCTTCTGATTTTGGAATTCAAGGAGGCCCACTCCATCTTCAGCACATCCTCAATACTCAGCTTCTGGATTTCGAGAATGGAGAGGCACTCATCCAATGCCTCCTTTCGGATGATGGTATAAGCTTGCATGCACTCCTGATCATAATTGCAATTGAACATCAAATTTGCAATGCCTCTGAGCTCAGGAACTATATCCGGATGAACCAAATCAATGATGACTTCCTCAGACGCTCTGCTGACACTATCCGTTTGAAGTGAGTCCTCAATCGAATCATCCCCAAAAGAGATTATCGAGCTTCCATCCGCAATATCCTCTTCACTCGAACGAAAAGACATGTGCTCGGGTTCAAAGGGTTGCCTGTTCTGAACAAGCATGTACTTGAACTCTTCCTCTAGCCTAGCCATTGCCGTTTGAAGAACATCATGAGCTCTATGTAACACCTCATACTCTTCATCATTTTTATCCAAACACGACCTTTCCAATCTTTCGATCAATCTCCGAGCCTCCTCCACAGCCTTCATATACTCCAGAGACTCATTCGGGCTCGAATCCCATATCATAGACTGATCAGCCTCCCAACTCATGATCCTCTCCTGAATCCAATTAAGGCGATCTTCGACCTCACTGATCTTTTTATCCTTATTCTCATCATCTCTCTCACTGAGTCCCATCATGCTGGACAATTGGGTGCCAAGATTAGCCAAAATCTCCCTCTCACCATCTGTAAGGTTCTTCTTCGACCCCAAGGCCCTCACTATGTTCTTTGCCGCGGCAATCAAATCGCATTCTCCTTCCATTTCCGGGTTCATAGATTTACAATCCCCCCTCAACATGCAATAAAAACACCCAAAAATGAACCAACAAATCCAACTCAAATCTTTTCGGTTTTGGGATCAAGGACAACAGTTGAACTTCAGGCCCTTCCTAGTTCAAAATCCTTACCAAGGTACAAGAAACAACTTCAGCAATTGAACCAAAACCCTCCAATTTTATCAAAAAAACAGAAAAGTAAAAGATACCCTTTTGGTGGAACAACTGCAGAATCAAAGCTTTTTGCATCCACTGAAGTAGTCTATGTTGAAAATTGGCAAATACCCAACAAACACCACTCTCCAAAATTAAGTGGGAACCCAAAAGGCGATTGAGGATAAGAAAAGTCCTGCAATCAAAAGGAATCGTCAAATTAGAATAAAGGGGCAATCTTTTTATCGTCGAATTAGCAAAAAAGACCAGTCTTTTCAAAAAGTTGGTCATCAGTGGCAAATGGCAATCACCATAAACAATACGATGCAGAAAAAACAACCCCAAAGTTGAACCCAAAAAAGCAATTAACAGTAGAAAAAAAAGGAAATCTTACCTCTTACTCTTTGCAGGATTCGAACTTTTTGCAGGTTGCAGATTTGCAATACGTACAAAAAGGAGAGACCCCAAAATTCTGCTTCAGAAATGGTTGAAGCAAAAGATGTAGCAGCCAGCAAAAGCATTCAGATGAACTGTACGGACATTTTCTCTGGGAAAACACAGAGAAGCCAACTTTCTCGGATAAGAATTATTGGGCTCTACTTTGCGTAACCTTTCTCGATTTGTCTTTTGCACTTTACGGTCTGTTTTTTTTTTAATAACGCCAATTGGGCTTGGATGCTTTGACCTGCTCGGTTTGAGTCTACCCTCCGCCTCGTAATGCAGACAACAATGCTTTTTTTTTTTTTTTAAGTTTATTATTAACGTTAGGGTGTGGTAGTTCGAAATTATTATCTCTATTAATCTCTACTGATTAATAAAACATTTATTATTAATCAAAATTTTATAAAATTACCAATTTAACTCTCTAATTAAAATAGAACATGAATAAGAAATATGGGACAGAAATATAATTTCACACAATCAAATTTTGCTTTTTTTTCTTTTTCAAAACCTCACATACATGTAATCATAACATATTTCTAAATAAAAAATAAAAAAACTTCTCACTCCCACATTCTCTCTATCACTCTCTTCCTCTCTCCTTCTATTTTAAAA